TGTATGAATCAGTATATGAAATTTCGTAGTACGATTTATGGTTCATAAAAGACGAGAAACAATGCAATAACTATGAAGCGGTGGCATGACAGCGCTACATTAATTTAGTCGTGACTACGACCGGTAACCTGAGGGTCTACCATGAAATTAAATTCCCAATTTTCGGACTCAATAAATAGAGTTTAACATTTCATTCGTCATAAATCCTACCATAAAAGTTCAAAGGAACGATATTATATTATTTTTAAACGGTATGTATTATGTAATTTTAACATCAAATTTATGTTTAGTTCGACCTCGAAATTTCATAGTAGGCCCTCAGATTTTTATCGTAGTTTACCTAAATGATCGTGTTGATTTCAGTCACTTATAAACCATATTATATATATTATTACATATATCTTAATTTATATCTATACATATATAAAAAATAATAACAAAATAAAATTAGTATACATATTAGCAACAACGGTGATCCACTAGATGCTGCTAGTATTGTGGTATGCGCCCTCTTAAATAACTCTAAGAAAAGGTTTTATTGAAATAATCATATTGAAATTTAACTATTGGATATCAGCACATTGTATTTTGATCGAGTCGATTTATTTATTTGTTTACATTTTAATTCAAATTATATTGAAACAGGTCATAATTAAGTTTTTTGTCTCGTATTCAAATCTAAAAAATGGAACACTTGTGAAATTTCTTCAAAGTGTCTGTCAAATATGCAATAAGTCCGAAGTCCGCGACATACGCGATTGAGCACTTATTAATTAATTATTGGCATGTCTGCTATAATCACACAAAGTGATATCATAGTTTTAATAGTTTTTGACCAAGTTTTGCATTTACTCTTTATTAAACTCTGAATACACCTGGTATTATAATACTAATAATAATACGATTGGAATCAAGTATATGGAACAAAATAATGTTATATTATTTACTATTTACAAACGTGATAAAATTCATATTAAATTAACGGAGCAGTAAACTGGTGCATAATTATCAAAGATATATAGGTATACAAAAAAATACGGTCCAATTACAATAATTCTTTTATTGAAATTAGTGTAAATAAACCAAATCAAAACGCAAAATTATAATAAATATGGTATGTGTATTTAAGGCACGTTTGTACAGTCGTATCAAAAACAAAGTACTCAGTTCTGGAGTCTTGCCTTCTTTCTGATCTAATCAATAATGTCATCATCATCTTTCTGCCCTTATTCTAATTATTTGAGGTCAGTCAAATATGTTTTCTGACTCCAGTCTTTTTTATCCGCAATAATTTACTCCTATTTTTCTATTCAAGGCAGACGAGGCAACTCCCTGCAGTAATACTACTATTGGGGGTGAATGGATTGTTAGTAATGGGGTCCATCAAGCCCAATGTTAACAATATACCATATCATGTCGACTTCCTCGCGGTCCCCCTGGAAACCATCGTGCTTAATTCTAGGTGAATTAATCACGACGAACTAACTAAACTGTCTTTTTATCCTCATTTATCACTCCTCATTGATACTTCTTCAGCGTATATTGTTAACGCAAGCGGAAATACTATCCGATTATCATCTCAAAAAATAAACTATTTGTTTGAGGGTGACGCCCTCTGGTGTCAAAAGTTTCTAGGCCGCTTTCGTTGCATCTAACGTGCTTACCGGACCATGGATTTACGTGCCCTCAGAAATACGATCATCTATATATTATATATATTACACATACAGCTGTCAATTTATAAAGGAAAACACAATAACTAATACAAAATAAGTAAACCAATAAAAATATTTGCATACTTGGTTTACTTTAACAATAGGCGAGGCAATATTACCATTAAAACGCATAGCAGACACGAATACTTAAATACAATTCAACTATAAGGAAACAAATAAATGTACAATAAATAATTTTTTAAATAATTAATTCTAAGAATCACATACTAAGCGGATGTCCCCGTGCCACGTAAATAGTAACTAACATGGAAATGACCTCCGAATTATTGGCACTTAGTGGAACTTTGTACCTATAGTTATTGATATTTTTTTATGGGTGAAAATGGTATGGTAACCCCGCCTGCGCTAACGGGATACGCTGGTGGAGCACCAGTGAAGCACATCATGATGAATTTATCAGGAATTAACCATTATAGTTTCCAGATAGAACAGCGAGGAGGTCGACCTGGTTGGGTATATTGCTAGTAATGGGATTTCAGTCTCCATTACTAACAATAACCTCCCCCCCCCCCCACTTATTGATATTACAAGTGTAAAAATTATAAATTTCCTGTTATTAATTAAAAATTTAATTTTCCATTAAAAATGGAAAAACCGGTCATCATAAAATCTTATCTATAATAGAATACAAGTATTTTCTAATAATATTAATATGACCCCGAATTAATGTCATGAATAAATGTCAAATCCTAAATTTTTATTACTATATTATAAAAAATATATACTTTAAATTAATTTACCGTTTACAATAAAACTTTTAAATCCTAAACTGCAATCGTAGAACGTAATGTTTATTAAAAACGTGTTCCGCATATAAAAACTATTTCATTGAAATTTGAATCAATCAGTTTTTCGTCCGTACATTTCCTGGGATTGTATTTGTACAACTACATATTTTAAACCTACACAAAAAAGGTGACTGTAAAGTGTAAAGCGTCTGTCTTTCTATCTATTTGTAACATTGTAAAATTAGAACTATGTATTTTGTTTATTTGAAAGGTATTTAATTTTTTTTTTGTTTTCATTTTATGTCATGAATATTAATTTATATTAATATTCATAACAATCATTCATAATTCAAAGATTAATACATATTCATTGAGAAGATCTTTGACAAGAGAAAAAAATCAAGAAAATATGACATGTGAAGTCCAAGTTAATTTAAACAAATTTTATATTTATTTTAATATTATTAAAAAATAACTTGTAACAATAATCACAAATACTAACATTTATGCAACTTGGAATGTCAAATAAGCGTACTCTGTAACGCGCATAGTACTCCTTTTGGATTACCATTTCTAAGCACTAATCTTGCAATTTCACTGCCATGCAAGCAGCTGTGAACAGCCTAAATGATAAGCCATTCAAATCGAAACAGCTCTGCAAACACAGCTGCATGTCGGTAGAAACACGATAAAGATTAAGATGCGTATGCAGACGAATGAAATTTAATAAAAAGTCTTTAAATTTAAAATTGGCACAATACCTATCTATACTACGAATTCGATAACATAGTATCAAACTATATATTATTTGACACTGCAACTTGGATTCAGACTACCATTTTTCTTGACAACTTATGCCAGATTTAACTGGAAGGGGTTTATTGAATTGGTTACAATATTCTTAAGGTATTACGTTTCTATACTGTAATTTTATTACAATATTGTTACCTCAATCGGCACTTTATTGTTAAATATTTTTTCCAATTTCATTTAGGATATTTATCAGGGTCTGACATTAATTTAAAAGATCAAGTTTGATAATAGACTTGAATATTCGTTAGCTATATGCATATTATGATAATAATTTTTAGATTATCAGGTCGTGACTAGTTTTTTGAAGCTTTTTTAAATTTCTAATTTAACCTTGAAAATTCGTGACCGGACAGGTGAGCCGGATAAATTATTTTTTGCGCGTAGAATTTTTTTTATAACTAACTTTTTAGTTGTTATAAATATCCTAGACAATAAATAAACTAATTTTAATATTTTTTATTTAAAGCTTGCTTTAATAATTTGGAGACCAATCTTACTTAGCTACGGTTGATTTTTCTAAACTTATCTCTTAACCTAATATTTTAATTTCATAATTTTACGAAATTACTATTTTATATAAATTTAAATTATTATTATTTTGATTTAAATATATTTATTTATTTTAATGCATTCATGTACATAATATAGACTTATTACAATGTTCTTATAAAGAGTAAGTTCATGAACCCTGTTTGGATATAGTAAAATTTAAGCGATACTTTTTATATTAGAAAATTATTTCATATTGTTTCTTACAATAAAGATTACGCTGTGATTTCAAATTGAAATTTTAATTTTATAGATAGGTTTAGAGAAAAACCTCGATATTTTTTTTACTATTGAAAGGTCCCACGATTGATCACTATCTTACTTGATGATTTTAAAAAGTTATTGTAACTTTTTGTTTTTTTTTATTATTTTTTATTCGTATTCTCACTTGATTAAGTATACCTATTTATTATTCTATATCTAACCTAAAACTTTGCATTTTTAATTGACAAATAAGCACACATTTATGAAACAAATACAGTTTTTAAGAGTACACAATTATGTATGGCATATATCAATAATTTTTTTTTTTTTAACTAATTGTAATAGAATTAAAAAATGGGTTCCACAAAAAATCGATATCAATCGTGGCAAAACCAGTTATATTTATTTAAAATCTAAACTATTAAATCAATTTTGATAAAATTTCAGTAGGATCAATCTAAAAGTATATTCTTTCAGATAAATATGTAAATTTTACATCTGTTTAAAAATAACAGAGTTATGAGATAACGAACATAAAATATTACCGAATTGAGAATTTACTTTTATTTAATCTAATTGAAAAATATATTGCATAAATAACTTTGTAATATTAATACGTGATATATAATTAATACAATAAAAATATTTGAATAATAATATTAATTACGAGTATATTGTTGATTAATCTATACTTCTAAAATTAGATAATTTTATGGAATACATGTAAGTATAATTAATACTAAATTTAAATTATTGTTTAATATAGTACTCATGGTATTGGCAGGTGTATTGTTTATATGTATGTGCTTTATTAAATAACTATTTCTGCATTTAATGCAGTTTTAAATTAACCCGAGAGCAGTATGAGAACCAAGATATCCTTGAAATACTTTCAATCTAACATGCACTACCAGAAAACCTTTTCTCGATGTAAATAAACAGTTATTGCTTAATCTTATTTAAAACTCACCTTATAATTGCTTCTAAAATAATATCACAATTTTGGAAGCGGTGATCATCTGATCACATACACTTTATCACCCTTACTTTATATATTTATTATTATTTTTTAGTGAGAGGCCAGTGTTTTAATTTTTGTGTTTTAAATTTAAATGTCCAAATTTTGACAATGACGGTCGCGTGCCGGCTAATGGTTGAACGGTATGACGCAAGCCGGTGGCGACGCGCGACTCCACAGATCGACTGAACGGCGGGACGTGGTGCACCGCGCACGCGTCGGCGACCCTCAGACCCTTTGCCTCGTCTTTCGACGACCTTCACGCCTCACCAAGCTGGGGTGCACGCTAGGTCCTATGACAACAATTTATTGTAGAAATATCGACGTTACGCAGTGATAAAAGTTACTAGATTGAATTCGCGTGCCTATTTAATAGTTTTATTACAACGCTCTCGATTGTATCGGTTTCAAATCTTTCAAAATGATATTCAATTACCTACTTATCTGAAATAAAATAGGAATGTGCATTTTTAATTTTTAATTACGACCTTATGTATTTATTACTGTATATATGTATATTGTTATATACAATATAACGTTCAGTTCTAAGTAAATATAATCATATTAAATACAATAAAGAAAAATGAATACCAGATATTTGAGAATATGGTTCTTTCTTCTTTATGGGTGATAATGGAATGGTAACCCTATTTACGTTAGCGGGGCACCAGTGAGGGATAATAGTTGAAAAAGAAAATACAGGTCAATTAGCCCATCGTGATGAATACACCTGGATTTCAGCACGATAGTTTACAAGAGAGACCACACAGAGATTGATCTGACAGGGTGTATATTTTTAATGAATGAAAATAGAATTGTAATCCTGCCTGCGCTATCGGTATACGCTGGCGGGGCGACAAGATATATTACCATCAATGAGGCGGGTAGTTCGCATTACTAACAGTCCCTTTTTAGATCCCTGACCAGATATTTAATAATATGCTTCCACACATGATGAAACAATACTGTCAAATATGTGGTATACTATAACAATGGGGTTCTTCAAAGGGGGGGTAAAGAGGTTTCTTCAGGGTCGGCAACGCATTCGTAATACCTCTGGTATTGCAGGTGTTCATAGGCTACGGTAACCACTTACCATCAGGTGGGCCGTATGCTTGTTTGCCACCTCAGTGGTATAAAAAAAAAAACAAACTTTAATAATAATAAAATTCGTAGTTATGAAACATAATGTAGACATAAAATATATGAAACTAACACGGAACTTATTATATTAGCCGTTAACTGTCCCTCATAAGGAGGGTCTTTTTTTTATACGACTTAGAATGGCAGACAAGCTGACGGCCCACCTGATAGAAAGTGGTAACCGTCGCCTATAGACATGAGCAGTACCATGGACATAACAGTACACACACATACTGTTTCGCCCATGATACCCCCCATGCGTTGGCATTCCTGAGGACTCAAGTGTTATTCCTCTGTACCCTGTAAGTTCACGCCATATCCCACCCTTCAAACCAAAACACAACCGTGCAAACACAACTACTTCACGGTTGAAACACGAATGGGACAGAGGTACCCAAGCAATCGACTTTTGTACAAAATCTCCTTCTCCCTCCCAATATTTGCCACGATTGACAAGCAGGTTAGAAACCACAGTTAAGCTTTGGTGATATTTTAAGAGAGACGCTGCTGCCCATCCCTCGACCATTCAGACGGGAACACGGAAGTAAATTCTTCCAATTATGAGCGTCACGGTATATTCCGTTATTTATGCTACTGTTTATGTTTATAGCTTATCGTATAAAAGAAATCTTACCATTGATAATGAGCAGCCATGTTTTAGCATCGCAATTCTCCCCATTGATAAGGAATTCATCGCGTATGGTTAAAGTTTTAGAGGAGTTTCCTCCGGCGAATGCTTAGGCTGTGGAATGAGCTCCCTAGTGATGTTTTCCTTAAAGACTACAGTATGAAATTCTTCAAATATAATGTATGTATTAAAGTTTCTTCAGGGTCGGCAGCACGCACGTTATATACCTAGTATTGCAGGCGTCCATACACTACAGTGACCGTCTACTATCAGACGAGCTGTATACTTGCTTGCCACTTTCGTGGTATAAAAAAACTGTTTTTTTTTTCAAAATAAATGTTAATTTTAAACTTCACTTACTTCTTACGGCACATTCAGCTATCTAATTAGCTCAAAATCATATTCTTTTTAATTTTACTGGTAGTGTTTTGAATTTTAGTACACAACTATACTTACTAACGTTATAAATATATAGACGAGTTTGTTTATATTTTAACTGCAATTTCTGTCTCTATTGTTCACGCGACAACCTTCTAAACTCTTATATAATTGCTATGTTTATATACTGTGGTTTTTTCCCTTCGAGTATGTTTATTAACTCTTGGTGTTTAAACGGTTGAACTTATGTACTCTAAATTGGATATACACATTGTATTTAAAAAAAGAAAGACATTTAGTTTGATCAATATAATTATCCTAGTTACACAGATGAAGTCGTGAGTAAGAACTAGTATACTATACCAACAGTATCCTGTCAAAATCTAATGTATACATCAATAATTAGATAGCATATAGAATCTAATAAATAATTATACTTGTTTCATGGATCTGTCAAAGGTTATAATTAATGAGCACAATTTTAATAACTGTGGGAGTTATTTATAATAAATGTGGTAATTCTAAACAAAGTACTATTATATTATAATTATAGATTATAATTATACTATATTACTATAAAACTTACGCTGTGATTATAGGTAATAAAGCTAGAATATAAATATAATTATACTACAACATTGTTTGTTTATAACTTTATAATGTAGTAAACATGTACTACAAAGATTCATAATTAGCATGTCTCTCACTTTACTTATTGCAAATAAACCATTTTTGATAAGACACCTAATTAGTTTACTGTTTTAATAGTTGTATATCACAAATAAATTGATTAATAGTATATACTGAAAAATATTCTAAACTAACCTTTGAAAAGTTGTGAAGTAAATGAGAAAAATTTACCCGATATTATTTCATTATTTGATAACTAAAAATAGATTTTTTTTAAAGCAATTCAATAATGAAGAGCTAATAGGTAATTCGACTATAGTTCTTTTTACAACAGTATGTTAACATATTACCTATCTATTCGTTTACGTATCCGTATGTATATTTATGAGTATGAAATGCTTATATTATACCGACAGGACATAAGGCAATGCTTTTGAAAATTAAATATATGGAAGATTTTATAAAAATACTCAAGAGAAATTAATTAAATTTATACTACGATCACGCAGACATCGCGGGTAAAAACTAATATGATGATACATACATACATACATATAATAAAATTGTAACTAGACGGTGTCTGTACATAGCAGACATTTAAGAAAAAAATTATATAAGGAGTCTTAATAAGAGCAACAGAAGCCGAAGCGATAATATTTACCAATTTTGTCTGTCTGTCCATTTGTTTGTTCCGGCACCACGCTAAAAGCTAATACACCAAACTAAATACAATTGTCACGGTTGTGTTGCTGAAGATCTAACTTAAAATCTGTGGAATTACTATTGAAATAAATTCCAATAAATCGATATTGAAATTGAGACGTTTTGCACTCTCAAATTGCAATACTAGCGACATAATGGTTTAATAGATGTTACTTTGATATTAGTGTAAATTGTCAATGCAATTCCAATTCTTACCTTTTTTTTTTTTTACAACACAGGGGGCAAACGAGCATGCGGCTCACCTGATGGTAAGTGACTACCGCCGCCCATGATCACCCACAACACCAGCGGCATTGCAGGTGTGCTGCCGGCCTTTTAAAAAGGAATATACTCTTACCTAATTGTTGTTTCATGAATGCAGTATAAAACTGTCATTGGCAATGGTTTGGATTCATATTGATATTGGTTTCAAGAGTAGACCCGCAGAGGAATGTTTTATCTTTATATCCATGTCATCATCATCAGTTCAGCCATTATCTGCCCACTGCTGGACATATGCCTCCTCCATAAACAGACTGGAACGATCCTGAGCCACCTGCATATGCATGTAGCAGTTATTTCATTGGTTTTCCTATTTCTGAAATCCACGCGTTCGAAGTAGCGAGCAAAAAGCAAGTATTATTATCAATTTTCACACATTCCCAGATGAATAGAACTGCACGCTATGCGTCATAAAATTAATTGACAATAGTTATATGTTTATCCGATAAATTATTTCTTCACAATGTGCTAGGTGCTAAGTCTTTACGACTTTCAAATCAGAACATTTTATCAATTGTTGTCTAAGAACTCTTAACGCGGTTTGCTGAATGTGTTGAAATATGAAAGTTAACTGGTAGACTATAGTAAAAATATCGAATCTTTACTGGCTTTAATATATTTTTATATTGAAAACTAACTTTTACCTGTGACCTCGTCCTCGTGACCGAGATATATCGATTGACTAGGACATATAGTAGCCCATTTCCTTTTCAAATAGTACATGTATATCAAATTTCATCTCTATTACGATGCCAAAATGTAACAAATTCACTCTTACATTTATAATATTAGTAAGTATTAAACAAAGTCCCTCCGATGGTAATCACTGAAATACTTCATCGTGTCTTAAAAATATTACATTTCCAATACTCTGCTGTTCTATTTAAGGTGTTCCTTCATAATACCCAATCCCCTCTTTAGAGATTCTGGGCACAAATATACATATTATATATATTTTATTCTTGAGTGATGTATTTTTTATTATATTATTTAATATTCCGTCGGTCAGAACTAATGTACTCCCTTTAGTCACAAAGTCTGGATATTAAATGATATTATAAGCATCATTGATGTTTTTAGTATGAGCCTGCCAAAGATATTAGAAGCGCTAGGATTATAACATTGATTTGGTTTTTACTGTTGTAATATTATAATTATTTTAATTAATAAATAAATAAATTATATCTACTAAAAATAAAACAACATACAAAGGGTTCGATATTATGTGGAATTTTAAGACAACACATACATACAAACAATAGAGAATAGAAAAGGTAAAATGCTGAGCAAACTTACACGATATGACTATTTTATAAAGAGCATCATTTATCATCAATAGACAATTAATGGTTAAAGTAATGGTTGTGATATGGTAAGATACCAGCAGAATAATAGCGCTGCGGGTACTATACACCATAATACTGAGTCACTTACCTTACAAGTTTTTGTTTTCTTTATAAATTCATAAATTATATGCTTGTAATGGTGAATAAATAATTTATCTATCTATATTTGAATTGATAAATTTGAATAATTTAAGAACAAAAAGAACATTCTCAAAGGTTTGTGGCTATTAAACATGTAAATAATTCCATCGATCGCAAAAAGAATAACTAAAATAGGTTTAAAATGAGCAATATTTATTTAAACTTTAAAGCACAATAAATCTATGTACATTTGATGGACTTAACACCGGACGATGTTCTCTACCAGTCAACCATTGGGGACAAACGGGAAATAATTCGATATAGGTACTATATATAATATTGTTGCCATTTGTGACGGTTACCAATTTTCGCAAGGTAAGCCATCAGATGGTTTGCTATTCTACGTTGCATAAAAAACACCACACACAAAAAACCATTGCATTGAATCTCCTTCTTTTTAAACTTGTTTAAAAAGAAGATTCAAAAAATTGCAACGGTCTGATTGGCACTTCTAACAAATTCTAATTTGTACAGTTAAATGTTTGTTATTCGTATGATAAAATAACCAACGGAACATAATTATTAAAATTCAGCATTTAATTAATGATAATTTTAAAACTCTTTTTTAAATGACCTACATTTAAAAATCAAGATCACTAATATAACAAAATACAACCTACATTCTACGAGTTCATTATCTATTTTTTTTAATTAGCAGCCCATATTGGCATCTACATACTGCGCCACCTTACACAATTTGGTATTAATTATTAAGCATATTACATCGTCATCATCTAAAACGTAAAGCGTACAACCTACAACCTTTAAACAAGAAATGAACAATTCAATCCACAAGTTACCGTTAGATGGCGTCACTTGTCTTACCAATGCTTACAAAACTTGAGGTTTACCAAGTTATTTGCGTTATCTACACTATCATTGATATAATAATCTTCTAATTAATTTGATTAAAATAATAATAATTCATATCTAACAAACTTGTACTGAATAATATTTTTTTTGTTACGATATCGGTGCGTTTAAAAGACTTCAACGCGCGTACTAATGAAATTTTATTATCAGTGACCTTTAAGGTCACATATGTTATTAAGAAAATGAGCACAGTACGATGTTGCACCATTTCATGATACTCTAAATTAACAATTAAATTCGTTAATTAAATGATTTCAATAATCTTACCCTCAAACTATATTGCCATATCAATACAGAACATCAAAATAAAATGATAAGAACTAAACATATTTTAAGTTCTTTATATTTTCATGCCAAGGTCCTTGCAGAGTAGACAGGGATCCAAGTGACAAAAGTCTCTATCCTTACATACATTTCTTGCTTGCTGATGTTTTGAGTCTATGTACATGTAAAATTGTACACTGCTGTATCCGCTGACATTGATGCTCCTTTCCACTTCGGGTTTGCTGGAAGAAAACTCTATCAGAGTTAAGCTCGCCTTTGTACTTTTGTTTACCTCTGTCATATTTTTATAACTAATGTGTACAATAAAGTATTAAAATAAATAAAAAAAAATAAATGTATATTAATTATATTTTTCGAATACAATACAATTACTGATTACTAATTTTTTAAAGAATAATGGTCTGTTTACATAACATAAACATAAATCAATACATTTTACTTCCTACTCCAACAACACTCGAATTTGACTATGATTTGCAGCAGCTAGAACACTCTGTGTGTAAGGACAAAAGAATCAATCCTATTGTCCTTAATAATATATTATTATTAGAGTTTATTTAAATGAATTGCTTAGTATGCAAACAAATAGATTTGTATAGACACATATGGAAGCAGAATTAATGAGTGCTCTAACGGCATGACATTGAATATATTTGTCTCTTATAAGTACATACAAAAGACGAATTTTTTGCCCACTATTTCGTACACGTGGATTTCAGAAGTAGGAAAATGAATTAAATAGAATATTAGCTTATTTATTTGTTTATTTATTTAACACTTTATTACACCAATATTTAAGGACTTGTTAGAAATTTTTCAATTAGTATTGTGTGATACAAAGGCATTCTTATTGCTAAGCAATCTCTTCAAAATATCCTTTGGTTAGAAGGAATTAAAGATAAGTAGGTGGCGCGTTAAAAAATAGATTTAAACATGTGTAAATAAACACAACTATATCTATACATACATATGTAACATAATTATATCAACCAATTATATTACCTTATGTGAGTTAAGCAGTTACCAAATTGTACATGCTGTAATAAAAAAGACCTTTTACATTAGTTGGTAAAATGTGGTCGGAATTTAAACTGAGATATCTAATTCTGGGAGATATACCTTTATCTACCTAATGGTAGTGTCAATGTAATCCTTAGCTGACCTGCCAGTTGCCTGCCAAACGCCTATATTTGCCGGTCAAAGTATCTTTGACTAACTAATATGATAAACTTAAGATACAGATATCTCCTATCAAACTGGCACAGTCACACAGATGTACTGAAATTTCAACAAAAATTAGAATAAAAAAATAGGTTAGTTTTCGTAAGAGTTTGGACTGCACTATCATTATACTCGTAGTTTACTATTAATATTTAAGATGCAAAGTTTTTTTTAAGTAAATACAAATTATGCCACATGATTCTTACTTATTTAATTTATCGATTCTTACTTAATTATTTAACATCCATAGACAATATTTATCTATCTTTACGCCTACATAAACAATTTATACAGCTTGAAACGGTTAACCAGTTAGGTCATATAATTTATACAGTAAAATACTTGTGGAAGTAGTAAAAGTGTCGTTACTTATAAAGGTAAATAATTTTCTTTGAGAGTTCGTATTATTAACACGTCAACCCATAAACGCCTCTTGGTCGTCAAATACCGATGGCGCGTGCGCATGCGACCTCAGTAAATGATATCGCACTTAGTATGAATGCAAACTGATTTTAATTCCCTACAGATAGACTCGTGTAACTATTAAAGGTCCTAACAGAGCAATGCAATAATATGACAATACTTAGCATTAAGAACTATTTGAGTCCAAAGTTATGTAAATATATTACCGAATAATAATTATTATTATTAAAATGTATGTATATATGGTAATGATATTATAACATACAAACAATAATATGCATAATATATACAAAGCTACTGAATTATTTCCTTTTTTTATTTATTGTCTAATAATTAAACATACTTTATATAGATAAACATAAAATAGGTCATATGAAACAGTAACTATTTTCGATCAATTAAAAATAAGAACGATTAGGTTCATAATTGACAAAGACAATACAAACCTCCTCCTTCTTAAAGCTTCTTTAAAGTTGAGAAATAAATTGTTTGATCCTATATGTTTAAATCTTAACATGAGGACGATGGGTTTCAAAATGAAATTACGAGTTTGTTCCGCAGAAAAATTACTATCACGAGAAAAAACTTATTATTGGGTATATTCAAATAATTATTATATAACTATTTTTTACAGTTTATTATACTATTCATCATACTACTTATGCACCCTTTATGTTACAATTTACATACAAGTCCTATAGCTACTTTCTCCTTTCGATTTTTTTTTATATTTAATATTATTATGATTTGGTAGGAAGAATTACAAAATCTTGATCACTGAAATGAGTTCTTTCTTACATTATTATTGCAAAAATCGTCAAAGTAGACTATTTTTGCGGGCAAAATTAGTAGTGACTTTGAGCAACTTTGACTATAGTATGCGACTAATTGGTGACACAGCTAGGACATAGGATCACCGGAGTCACGTTACACACAGTAAACGATTACAATTGAACGCATATAGCCAACTGTTTAGTACGCTATTTTGTCACAAGACCAATAATATAAAACAACTCTATATATACTTTACCTACTTCAATTCAATTGCATGGAATTTTTTTAATGTAATTTCTGTTGTGAAGTATTTCGGTACTGTTCTTAGTTGTATACATCTCCAGTTTCCATCCATCTTAGTTTTATAAAAATCCAAATATATAATAAAACGTCGGTTTTTTTTAATTACATGAAGAGTGGTAATAGTGAATGAATAGATACTAGAGCAACAGGGATATATCCACATATGGATGTAAAATTAAAGTAAGTCGTATTAAGTAATTAAGTAAGGTTTTTCTTATTATGTTTTATAATATATTTAAGATTGTGTTCCTGAAATAATAAATAGTGTTCTACAAAAATCGATAATTTTGACAAAACCAGTTATTTTGATTTAAAAACTAAACTACTGAACAGATTTTGATAAAATTTCTATGAGACCAGTCTTTCAGATAAAAAAATATTTTTTGCGTCGTAGACTACCAGCGCCTCAATGCCGACCAACCTGCCTTCCAACTCTCGGAGGCAGCGGTCCCGCACAATTGGCCACTATGATTTGCTAATAATTTGTATGTAAAAGTATTCTAAGAAATTATTACAAGAGACAAATCAAGATGTGACGAAATAATTAATTTAAAAAAAATATTCGGTAATTTTTTATGTAACTTAGAACAGCGAATAACCTAACAGAACTCCTGGTGAATACTAGTCTGTTAAACATGAACAGCACAATAAATAACATAAAGTACACTATGACGCTCATGACATGCTTCATACATTACCATTTCTTAGGACTAAGGTGTTCTGCCTCCGTCCTCTGTAATTTCACTACCCTTTAAACTGGAACACAATCATGCAAGGACAGCTGATTCATATCAGAAACAAGTGGAACAGAGATCATAATAAAACAATGTGTAAGTACTCGATGTATTAGATAATATTTGCTTACGTGAATTAGAATAAAAAGTTTCCCATATATTAATCATGGATATAGTCCTTCGAAGTGCAAATTATCATACAAATCTGTACAGCTTTTGCAGTATGTAGGATGTTATTTTAATATTTTTCATTGGATATTTAGAAATTTATTGGAAAGTTATTGAATTTTATAAATTTGGAAAAAAAAAACATATAAACAAGACGATTTTTCTGATCAATATATTTACAAATATTCAAATTTGCGTATAAAGGAAAATTAAAATAGGAAGATAATGTCAGTTGTTGCATTGTCTGTAATTATGTCGCTGTAGATCTGTCTATATAAACTAAATAAGTGCATCACATTCTAATATAAGAAACAGTGGTGTTCACCGTAAAAAGAGGTAGATGTACCGTTAATGGAGAAAGCCTACTGTGTTGTACTGCGCGGGCGCAGTCGGCCATCAACCGGCACGCTCGCAATGCTCGAGTATAGTGCGTAAAAACGGATTAATATCAAGTGATCGATTTATACGTTTGAAGTTTATAGAAAACTGCAGATAAAAATAGGTATTTAATATTATTTTTTTACAACTTTTAATTTCTTTATTGCTGTTATTATGCTGAAATTTATTTAGGTATTTAAAAAATTTAATAAAATTGTGAATAACAAATTATTTTACTATAATTTAAAAAAAAAACATTTTTTCGACGGTTGTGACAAATTTTATTTTTAAATTTTTTTTATTGCTTTATGTTTTAAAATCAAAATATAATCTGTAATTTACGTACGGTTACTATAGTAAAATCTGTTATAATTTTTAAATTTATTAGAATAAAAATATTAATTTTGTTGAATAAAACTAAAATATAAGTAATGTAAGCTTACGGTGATACATTTTTGGAACTTGAATTTTATTATAGTTAAAGAATAATACGAGTAATTCTAAACTTATCATATTTATTATTTGCGAAAATATATAGATTACTAGATTATATAAAATGTGTGGTTGTTACACTTTCTTATTTATCAATGTCAAAATTATTCATACATAGCTATCAGCGCAACCGATATTAACATAGTTTACACTCTAAACAACTTTCTTCCATCTACTTTCTTTTTAGAATGAATATAGCTACGTGTGAATGTATGTGGTTAATGTGCTTTTGTATGTATTTAACTAGTTTACCTAGATAATATTAATCAATCAATAATTAAGTGAATTTCATATTTACAAATTCAGGATTGATAAATTGAAATAATCAAGATCTGTTTTACATACTATTTCAGATTTTTTCAATCACACAAAAAAACATTAGCATATAAAAAAGTTTATTACTATTTAGTTGCTGATAATATTACAAGAATATCGCTGATATTTTCTTCTATTTATCTTAATTTTTTTTTTTTATCTAGCTAAGAGTCTGTAGCATGTATGACTGTTTTGATTTAGAACGTAGGGCATAGCAGTGAAATAACAATCTTATTAAAAAAAAAATAGAAAAATTAGACTAGTCTCTATCTGACCTTTTTTTATATATGTTTATCAAACATTATTTATAATAATCTACTATATTACATTTCATTTCAGAAAAACATCAAAGATGTTGGAAGGAACAAAAATTAACAGTCCGTCTCAAATGGCAAGCGTATTTGACATCGCCAAAGACACAGTGCTATTCCTTTTGCTATCATGTTATTACATATTGGAGTCACTTTTCTGGACTTTAGTGCCTAATGCTCTAAGACCTATGAAGAGTCTTAAAGGTGATGTGGTTTTGGTGACGGGCGGAGGCGGTGGAGTGGGGAGACAGCTGGCAATCAAACTAGCCAGACTCGGAGCCAAGGTTGTTGTATGGGATATTAACATTGAAGGTACGTTTACATCAGCCTTACTAGATTTCTTTATAAGTCCACAATCTATTACTACGTGCTAAATACCGCTATGTTACGTATTAGGTACATAATCGCATTACGAGTATTATAAACTTGAAAGTAACTCCGTTTACTTAGTGTGATTAGTTTTTTCAATTTTTTATTTGAACTAATGAGTTCATATATCTCTCCTTTTCATCTTTCATAATCATCGTTGATAAAATATTTTTCTATTTTTTTTTTATGCGCCATTCTATGGCAAGGACGCTAACGACCCACCTGATGGGAAGTGGTAATCTTCGCCAAGTGTGCTTATTTTTAACAAAACATTTACTAGTTTTTACCCATGACTTTGTCCGGGTGACCGAGATATGTTTGTTGAATGGGATAAATAGTAGCCTACTCGTATGTCCATTCCCATCTCATGTAGGATATGTATATAAAATTTCATAGTTAAACCATTAAAGGACTAAGAGATAACAAACAAATAATCATTATAATTCATATAATAAATAATAATGAAATATATACACATTAATATTTTATTATTTTATTTAAAAAAATTAAAGTGAAACATAGTATAACTGAATTATAGACTACTAGCGATCCGCCCCTGCTTCGCATGTATAGATAACAATTATGTAGCTTATGTTACTCGCTGATATTGTAGATTACTATATCTGAAAGAATTTTTAAAATCAACTAGTTTTTAAGTTTATCCTTTACAAACAAATAATCAAATCTTTTCTCTTTTTTATATTAGTACAGATATTAGTACAGATATTAGGCTAGAAATTAATTATAACATTAGATAAAACGGATTAGCATCCGTTCTAAGTAATAATTTTGTAGGTACATTACGAATTATCCCGTCATTGGTCAACCGTGACGTGATCATATTTACCTCTCTAAAACCAAGTTTACACAACAGACTTGAAACTAGAACAACTTAGTACACGATTGTGTTATCTATTTATATTATAAACTAGCTTTCTGCCGACTACCAAGTAGGTACGCGTGAATTTTAAAAATAAGAAAAGCAATTAAATAAACCATTTTTACATTTTGAAATCAAACTTTTGGGACTGACTACGAAACCGCATCCAATTTGGTGCAGCAGTTTTTGCGTAATACTGGAACATATGAATACAGACAGATAAACAGACACACATAATTTGTAAAAGTTATTGTTTTGACTGCTTCTGCGCTTATTAAGACGCCTTATATATATATATATATATATATATATATATATATATATATATATATATATATATATATATATATATATATATATATATATATATATATATATATATATATATATATATATATATTATATATATATGTCTACCATGTACAGATAATGTCTAGTTACGATTTTATTACATTAGTGAGATACTTACTAATATTATAAATGTGAAAGTGAGTGTTTTTTATTCGTTATTTCCTGACGCTTTAACGACTCTATCAATAGTTACAAAATTTAACATTTGCATGTTAAATTTTGTATAAATTAAATTTTGTATTAAATTTTGTTTAATTCCATTTAACATAGAAAAGGGCATAATACAAAACATACAAATATGAACGACCTAAATTGATTTAATAACCCTTCTAGTTTTTTAAATATTGATAAGCTATTGTAGTCACTTCTAATCAGGAGAACTAATGAGATTGTTTTATGAGAAAACAGCATAATAGAATGTCTTGTTTCAAAAAATAATAAAATAAATAAAAATAACGTATAAAATATATGTTGCGTCAACTAACAACTAAATATTGCATGTGCAATATACTGCGAAGGTCAGTTATATTACAATTACTCTGTTGTTAGCTACCTAATCATCATTATTATTAATTTTATAATAAATAAAATTGCTACTAGGGACTACTCATAACACGCGTTAAATCTTAAAAATCGCTTTCAAGAATATTTATTTATTTAAACTTCAATGTACGATTATATAAATAAGTGTATATATGGCAGATTTAATACCTAATGGCGTTCTCTACCAAAAGCAAGTGAGGCAAGCAGAAAATTATTATATCGAAAAAGTTCTCTTGCTTTGTCTAGTATGGTATTATTATAAATATACATACAAATGCTTCGAAAAAAACGAGTCAACTTTGGGCTTCAAACTTTTTTTTTCATCATGTGACCAGATGATTTTGTGAAAATTATACTCGTATTTTCTCAGGATTGAAGAAAACCTGTGAAGAGGTTATTAATGAAGGCCACGAAATAGCCAGCTATGTGGTAGATCTCGCTGATCGCAATGCAGTCTACATGGCTGCAGAAAAAGTTAAGAAAGAGGTAAATAACTTTTTGTTCTTTAAAATCTCTATTGTATATGAACTGTTTATGTTGTTACATGGATATTATTTCATATCATGGATAGACTATTTTAATACCTACTTTGGGTATTATAAGTAAAAAGTTATTTATATACATTTATATTATAGTGTTAAGATTACTTTCCAAGGGGAGAGGGGGCTAGCTCCGGAAAAAGTTCCCTTTGTATTCTGAGTGCACCAGACAATTTTGAGTTGAGTTGAGTTGAGTTGAGGCACAGAACCCTCTATATTTTGCATTTAACTTTAGAAGTAAAATACTTTCATGAAACAAATCATATTGCTGCTTTCGGGAATAGTCTAGAATAGTGAATATAAAGAATTTTCTTCCTCGATAGCTATCAATTATTATTCATCTCAATTACAATTATTTGAACGTTTTTTAAATTGTTAACTGACACTCATAGACTTTATATTTTCTTTTACAAGTGCTATATGAGATATCATAGATACATCTCAGTCATTAAAACACTAATAAACTGTACGGAGTCGCATGCAAGAATTTATTAGGCGCATTACAGATACACAAGTCTAGATATGTTATTGCGAAATTATTGGTAATAATGATACTAATACAATAATTATGAATGTTTGTTATTCAATCATGTTTAAACGATGAAATGAATTTTAATGAAATTTGGTACATTTATATCCTAACATATAGGAATATAGAACACATATATATTAATTCACGCAGGCAAAGCAGTGGGAAATAGCTAGCAAACTTTTTTATATCATGAAGGTCGCACATCAGCATATAGCCCGTCTAATGGTAAACGGTCACTAGCCTATGGACGCCTACAACACTAGGGGTGTCACGTGCGCGTTGCCGACTCTAGAGAAACCTTAATACTCTTTTTAAAGAACCCTGTACTAACATAAACGTATATTTGACTAGCTGTATCCCGCAGCCTCATCCGCGTCAATCAATACATAGTCTATATTCAAAATTAAGATATAATCTATCCGTGTATCAAACTTTGTTCATATCCGTTATATAGGTAATTTATGCACGAAATAACAAACATCTTTCAATCCTTAAAACTTCGTGTTCACAATAGTAATAGTATATAATTATATTATTGTAAATTGTAGGTGGGGAAAGTGGACGTACTTATTAACAATGCCGGTACAGTGTTTGGAGACACTCTATTGGAACTCGCCGACTCTGCAATAGAAACTACATACAAAGTCAACATCCTCTCACATTACTGGGTAAGTTCGACACATAATTGTCATGGTTGAGTTGGATTTCGTAGCACCGCTTTTATATGGCGTCGTTATGTAAAATACTATGAACAAATAATTGTTACTTTTGCAATAGCCATATCCCTTGTGGTATTTATAATATGGATGCATTACAATGTCTTTGTTTAAATATATTGTGCTTACATTTGGCAGAATATTTATAAGTTTCAAGTATTTAATATAACTGTACTTAGTTAAAAAAATTTAATTCTAGTGCTTGTATCATCATTATGCCATGTCACGGCATAGAATAGGCCACCCCTTCCTATCCCATGGGTGTCGTAAGAGCTGACTAAGGAAGGGCAAAGGATGGACAGCAGTGTCCCTCTTAAAACATCTCTAACGCCTGACTGCGGTTGCCAATCCGCCTGCCAAGCGTGGCAACTACTAGCAAAATCCCCCAAGAGAAAAGCTAATGTTCAGCAGTGGACAGTTAAAAGCTGATATGATGATGAAACCACAGTCCATAAGGTTTACTACAGAGGGGACCGTGTGGAATTTGCCACACATAATATTATAAGCTAATATACGAGTATACTAACTCAGTTACCAATAACCCCTGCTCCTATTTGTCACAGCTTGCTATAATAATTACATTTATCGTCATTTCCATCTCAGTGTACATGAATTGCAATTACCTACAAATAACCTTCATATTTTATGTATTGTATAGTTATAGTTCCTGTAAAATATGCCTTCCTGTGTAATAATGTGCGATACAAGATAATTATCTATTATTTATTAATAACCAGTGCTAGTGTTTACCATTTATCATTGTATTTTTCTACTACATTATTTTACATTATTTAATAGAATTTGATGAAAATATAATCTAACGAACAACTAATCCGACCAATAGTAGCGCAAATCAATCATCCATTATATTTTTTATATTTAAAATTATATATACATATATATATATATATATATATATATATATATATATATATATAATTTTAAATATTATGTGTTAAAAAATGAACATCAGTTTCAAAAATAATATCAATTTGAGTAGTATAGATTTAAGTTCTATTAAAACAGACCTTATCTTTTCACAGACGGTGAGAGCGTTCCTTCCCGACATGATAGAGACCGGCAAGGGGCACATAGTAACGGTGGGCTCTGTAGCAGGACTACTAGGCACTTACCGTTGTACAGACTACAGCGCTACTAAATTCGCCACCGTCGGCTTCCACGAAAGCCTCTTCACTGAGCTTCGAGTGAGTTAACTCAACTATATTCCCATTTTATTTTAGCCAATAACATCTTAGCAAGGAAGTTGGAGAGCCCAATTCAAAAACGGTGCTAGTAGGTATAATGCTCGTGTGAGATACTTAAAAGCCTTTGTACGTCAAAGACAAATGTATAACGTAAGCACCTCTATAGCATAACTTTACTTGCAACGTATAAGTTTACTTAAGGTAGGCGACTTATAGTAAAATGACTAAGGATACCTTTATCATGAGGTGGAATTATAACATTATATGCATATTTCGCAACTTATTGTTTTTATATTGCCAGCATTACAACAATTAACAGTCGCAACTCTTAATTGCCATTCTAAAAATAACGTTAAATATTCATCTAAATCGCTGTTTCGTAGTAAGTAAATTACAAGATGATCGGCCATCAAATGAGACGGATGCCAATAGACGCTGGTTATATTGAGTCGTAAAAAGTGCCTAGTGTAAGTTGTATAAAGATTTACGTCACGAATGCATTGTTGTTTACTCGTAAATTTTTATGGTAAACCGAGTTTATGAAATTATTCACTAGACGCGCAGTTTTCAATACACACTTATCGAGTACCTAATCGTGAACGCGACCATAACGGAAATCTTTATGCAACTCGCTCTTGACACTCTGATTACGACACGAAATAGATGATTTTAAATATATTTTCTATATACATACTTAATTAATTTAGTCATAATAATTGTTATTAGCAAACGAGAACCTTAATTAGGTAGCAATAGTAAATGTCACATAAATCAGACCAATTGCCTGGTACATATTTTTAATAGATATGGGAGCACCAGTGATACGTAAAGATGAAGGAGGCCAGTTGGTCCATCGTGATGAATTTATAAGAATTTATCACGATGGTTTCTGAGAGGAATCGCGTGGAAATCGTGCTGACAGTGTTTATTGCTAGTAAAGGGACCCTTTTTACTAACAATCCCTTCTCCCTGCATCACCTGGTACTGTGCTAGGATACCTACTTTGTGTTTTTAATGGATGAAAATGAAATTATAACCCTGCCTGAGTTATCGGTTTATGCTGGCAGGAAACCAATGATTGATGATAGATGAGGATAAAGCAGCTCAGTTGTCCCATCGTGATTAATTCATCAAAAATTAATCATGATGGTTTTCAAGGGAACCATGTGGAGGTTGACCTTTTAGGGTATATTGCTAGTAATGGGACTGTAAAACCTCATTACTAAAAATGCCTTGCTCCCCACCTAGTTTGTGTTATGAGAAACCAGGCAACGAACATTTAAAGACCCGGACCCGAGGCAATTCAGAAGACATTTCCTAAATTGACCCAACCTGAGGGGAATGGGATTGTTAGTAATGGGGTCAAACAGCTCCATTACTAGCAATATGCCTGTCAGGTCGACCTCCACGTGGTTCCCCCTTGAAACCATTGTGGCCAATTCTAGTTGAATTCGTCAGAATGGGCAAACTTACCTGCTTTCATCCTCATCAATCCTTTATCGCTGGTGCTCTGCTACTGAATACCGATATTTAAAAAAAATTTACCCAACCGGAAGTCGAACCTGGAACCTTATTTATGCAAAAAAACACTACTGCGCCACGAATATCGTCAATAAAAGAAACACAATTCTAAATCATCATACTATATTATACTTATTTTTTTTTTTTGCTGTTAATTAGTATTCAATCAAGTGTTGAGGTTGTTTTTAACTTAAAATTAATATAGGATATAACAATTAATGTTTTGTTGGGTGTCTAATTCTAGGCTCATGGACACAACAGTATTCAAGCGACCCTCGTGTGCCCATACTACATTAACACGGGGATGTTCCATGGAGTCACACCACGCCTTATGCCTATGTTGGAACCAAATTACGTCGCAGAAACTATGATTGATTCCATCAGGAAAAACGAGGTCAATTGCATCATGCCTGGATCCGTCAGATACTTACTTCCGCTCAAATGGTAATAATATATCTTTAGTTAGTTCTACATACACCTACTCGTTTTAATATGATGAAAATATATAATGATTTTTTATTCTATTACTAGCTTCTTGGTCTATGGGCGCGTTATATCTTTGGTCTTAGTAGCGTTTATAAGATACGGTATCTTTTTATTTTTATAATATAAATAATAGAGTAAAAAAACCAGAGATAGATTTAAAATAGATTGAATATGACAAATGAAAATTAGTATATAAAAAATCCACTCACGTTTATCACGTATTTAATTTACAGCCTACTCCCCGCAAAAATGTGCTGGGACTTGATGCACCGAGTGATGAAAGGACCACAATCTATGATGGAGTTCAAAGGAAAACCTAAAACTGCCGTTAATTAAGGCTATTATTAATAAAATACACATATTACTATTAAAATAGAATCATTAGATATCTACACAACATAGTAATTTACTATCATATATAATATTAATCATTGTGCAGCAATGCATAACGTCTTCCATCGTACGTAAAAAAAAGGAGGAGGTGGGTTAGCGAATACGTCTTGATAATATCTAGAAATATATTAGGTAATCAAAAATATTGTTTTTTATTTACAATTGTTATAAATTAGTACTACTTACATCGTATCTTCGACGTCGCCTGAATTAACATTGCGGCTTCGAAGACATGGGATGACATGACATGTAAACATGGATTCAGCTGATAGAAATCTAATTCTGTATGATCCACAATAATTATCATTCGACAATAAATGCAGTTTTTTGCAGGATAATGCAATTAAAATTTTATTGTCCAGTTTAGAAGATTCAACAAGAAAGTGATACTTATAGTACCATTTTCTGTAGTATTTGCTGTGAGATCAGCCCTAAATGTGAAAGGGTCTTAAGAAGACTGAATGTAAATATGATTGATAATGTAGTGTAAATGTAATCCTTGACATAATAAATACTTAAAAAAAAACACATATGTTTCAATATTACAAATAATAGAACAATTTGCAATTTATACATAATTTAATTAAATTAATAACTTAAAGGTAATATCACAATTGATCAGAATAAATCATAGAAATAATCGAGTCCCTGTCCCAGTTCCCATATCGCCACTCCTGTTCCATATTCTCGAGCCAAATCTAATCTTTTTTGAATGGAATACAAAGTTGGATAAAATATCTTCTTCGTACCTTGTGATGTCCTGCAATATTGCAACAAACTATATACTGTCACTCTAAATATATTTATTTAGACCTATGAAAGCAATATTGAGCTTAGTTCAGACTTGAGTATCCATAATAAATATACTTAATACCATTCCAGAAATGGTGATAGCAAGTTACTATTTTTAAGCAACTAGTAAGCTGTAGTATATAGTTAGACATGAACTATACGACAGTTGATAAAAGGCTGATGGCCCATTAAATAGAAAATAGTAAACTTTTTATTATGTTGATCAGCCTATTAGTCATTCCAGGTTGCATAAAAAAAAAGTCCAATTTCACTAAAATCAGAAATAAGTATATAAACTTACAGTTGAAAATAAATTCTTTAGAGGCAATTAACAGTTATTCTTACCGAATTTCCACATAATTCTCAGCTGTATTATTATTATATGATAAGGCTTGATTGTTTTTTGCATTTTTCAATAATTCTATGTATTCTGTGCCGACAATAGGTCCTCCTCCATTGGCAGTGTATGAATTTCCATAGAAGTTTAAACCAAGAAGAATTTTGAGTCGTTTAACAGAATTTTCATCATTATCAATCAGTTTTTCAACACAAAGTCTCATCCAATACAAAGGTGCGTTAGGACCTACAATAAAATTATATTAAATTTCATATGTTATAATAATTAAATTAGTATTTTATTTTAATCAAATATTTGAAATAATTATTACAAATTATACCTGGCTTCTGAGGATTAGAAAAATCATAAGTCATTACAGATACTGCCTCCACATATGGATAAATATCATTAAATGCCTGAATGAAGAACTCATCATTAGGATATCCACGGAACGGTGGATAGACTAGAATCAATTTTAAATTGTCATCACTCATCTCTGAACCTGGAAATCAACAAAATATTTAATTCTAACCAGTACAGTTTAATCTGAAACTTAATCATATATTATTATAATTTACTAATAAAAAATTAAATATACCTTTAAAATTAAATAGAATTTAAAAAATAATTATAATACCTATACTCAATTTCTAAACAAGTTGAATTAAACAAAACAGGTTCTACTATATATGAAACATAACTTACTCAAATTAAATTGTATTTCCAATTATTCTTTGTAAAAGCACAGAACAAATTCAACCAAGAGAGTAAAATAAATTAGTAATACAATCTATGCTCTATATAAGCAACATTATTTATATTTTATTTATTCTACTCAGCTTAGTTAGTAAAAAGAATAAGTAAAAATATTTTCCAAACAGTAAGTATTTTTATACTCCTTTTTTCCCCTCTAAGCAACTTTTCCCAATAAGAATTTTTTTTATTGAAATTGGTTCAAATGAGTTGCTCATATAGAATGTTCACTATAGTAAGAAGATAAAAAATTAATATAAAAAATATTAATACAATGACTTACCAAACTGTTGTATAAACTTTACAGACTTATCAGCAAATTTCCCAATTTGAGAGAGCATTTCTAAAACTACACCATCAAATTTCCATTGTTTACATGATTTCTTTATCTCTTCTATTAAAGCTTTCTGTTCGGAATGTAAAGAAGGCTCCAGGAAGAATGCTTTAAGATCAGACACTTGCCAATTTTCGAAGATAATTCTTGGTAGTACTATAAATAAGAGCTTAGTATTAGAATATAAATTAGGTCTATTGATATTGCAAATGTAAATTAATATATATATATATATATATATACTTTATATATTTAAAAGTGTTACTTAATAATGCTATTAGCAAAATTGATTTGAATTTGATTTTGTTTAGATAAATATGTTGAATCAGGATAACGTCCATACAATTTATTTTGCAAAGCCATAAGGAACAGCAACAGTTTATAAAAATGTTAATTAATCATGGTCAGCAATTGACGGAATTGATAAAATACATTCAGTATTTTGTTTAAACAAGATGCTTTCATATATCCCAGTTATTCACAGGCAAAGCCATAGGGTACTAACTGTACGTGTATAAAAGTGATTACCCATATGTGTAAATATTATTATGCAGTAATTAATTTAGGTTAATACTAAAAAATTTTTTACTTGAATGTGAATTACCAATTCCCATAAGACTTACCTTTTAAATTACTGGCAGACCCTTTTTGTTTAATGGCTTTCATCCACGCATGATCAACATCTTGCAAACCAGAAATTATATAAATATTTGGAGCCTGCCGCTTGATTTGCAGCCATACAGGAGATATGTAATTAAATTTAGGAGCCCATGTTTTCGCTACATCATAGCCTTTATTATTCCACTAAAAAAATTTTATATATCGAATTTATAACACAAAACACAATTCTATAATATTTAGCATTTTTTTAAATACCTTTTAAAGTACCAAGAGTGAATATTTTAAATATAATTTATAACAGAAAATATAATAAATACTAAACTATATACATATAATTTACAATAAGAATCATATGTTCATAATAATCGATTTACAAGTGGTAACTTACAGGAGTGACATAACCTAGAACAGGATTGTTAAAATGACTTGTAGATAAATCCTGGTGATACGTTGCATGGTATTTAATTATATCCTTCACTAGAGGAGTCTCGAGTACCAGTTTTCGGTCTAAAACATTGTTTTTCCTCGGTCCTTCCTGTGTTTTAACTCCTTTCTGGCCCTTCTTATCAGTTGGTGGAGACAAAGTAGAAAAACACGCATCAAATAAAAAAAGAATATGAATAACTGTCGTAATATATTTCATTTTTTTTTTTTCTGTAGAACCTTAAATAATCTATTTTTTTTTTTTTATATCAAATCGAAAATAAACATAAAACACCACAACGGGTGAACTTGTATTTTCTTCTTGTTTACACAACTGTCAGTGGCGATGTCATAATTCATGTCAATGTCTAATGTTGGCAAAATCATTAATCATTAGAACTTGATAAATATTTGAATTTAATAAATAGTTAAAGTAAATATATATCTACTTCTTTATTCTTTAATACATTCTATTATATTGATATTATAAATAACGAAAGTTTGATGAACGATGGATGAATAAATGGATATTTGTTATTCTTTCACATAAAAACTACTGGACAGATTTTGAATAAAATTTGATACACGGGTAGATTATACATTAACTTAGCAAATAGGACACCTTATGTACTAATTCACGTGGGCAAAACCGCGGAATATAGCTAATACTACATATGTAAATGTTTACATGACGAATTTAATGCTCAAAACCATTTTCTTTCAGTCAACGTTAAGAAAATAGGTACTAAAAAAACTTAATTGCTGTACTTGATCATAGATTAAAAATGTCGACGATTTAAGATTTTTTCCAGAAAGTTTAGTCCCTTTAAAAAACACATATGTAGTCTCACTTACAAAATTTGCATGTTTTTTTTTTGGATGGGTGAAAATGGTATGTTAAATCACGATCACTGACCTGTTTTTTATTCTCACCTATCATCTCTCACAGGCGCCTCGCCAGCGTATACCATTAGCGCAAGCGGAATTACCATACCATTATCTTCCATTAAAAAAATTACCTAACAGGGCATAATGGAAAACAGAATGTTATTTTTTATTGTTATTTAAAATGTTCATTTTAAGCAATCAGACAGAGACCGTTTGTATATGTATTACTCAGTCACGTTTAAGGTTTTAAATGAAATGCTGAACGGATTTGCATGAAATTTTAATAGTGCGTTATGTCCTAATTTAACACAAAGAGTACTTTATATACTGAATCACGCGAACAAAGTCATTGGTAACAGCTAGTTAATAATAATTTGTAATCACGAGATATACATATTTTGCAAATTTAAGTTTAGTCTTTTACTATTCTTCTTAGCTGAATGCCCTTACATAATATTTACCTAAATATACATATATGCGAAGAGCTTAAAATATACATACCTATATGTAAATATTTTATATTACATAAGTGATTGATAAGCTACTTGCCAATTTCTTTACTTTCCATATACTTAACAATATTCACCACGGTCAAGTAAAAGAAAGTCCGTGAAACGCTGAATGAGCGGTTTTATTGATAACTCAGTGCTTCGACGGAAACCAGAGCCGTAACATGGCTCGACTACACTCACGATTTCAAATCACTAATGCATTTTTGTTATTTTTATTAACATTAGGTTAGTAAAGTTGTATTTACCTATAAAATATATAATGGAAATTCAGATCTCATCTATACATTATATTGAAACATATGGTTTTCTCTACAACAAAGATTTTACTTAAACTTTTTAATCATTTTCATAGTGTAAGTGTTAATAATTTTTAAATGCAAAAATATTTCAGAAGTGCAGAGCAAACATGTGACAAAAAGAAGCTTAACAGACGTGAAGTGTCACGTAAATGGTAGATTCTACAGGTTTGTAGAGTGTTTTTTGTTTAATAAAAAAAAAATCTAATTCATACATATTTTTCATTGAGAGAAGTACACACATCAAGTCCACAAGTAAAGAAAATAAAATTAATCCTTTTTATCCATATAATCAAAATCGAAAGCATCAAATTTATATGCAGTGTTTCCGATGTCGCAGCGGAAACACTGCTTATACACTGCACATACAGTTCGCCCGATGGACACATCGGGCACATCGGGCGAACTGTATGTTTAATTGTTACCGTCATCGTATTGCAAAACTACCTAAATATTTTGTTATAATTGCTACCATCTATAATTTAACGATATTTGCAATTCGTTTAAGAGGAAACACATACTTTCTACAGAACACAATATAAATTTTTGACGCTTAAGTATTCAATTATTTTTAAAAGATTTACAGAAGGATATAGACTTTTGACATTCGATGATCTCTGAATATCACTTTAAGACTGTACAAATAGACATTATAGGCGAATGATCTAAATAAAAATAAAAAATTAAGTACATAACATAGTACCAGAATCCAACATTACTCGTGCGTGCCATAACCATCTGCCTATACTGATCGCATCTATAGCAACGGTGACGACACCACTTTTTATCAAGTGAACCGAGATAAAATATTACTAACATTTTATCTCGGGAGGAGAGAAGTAGAAGCCATTCTTATATAATAAAGCATAAGTTAAGCAACTACAGGACCAATTTTCATTTTAATTTCTGAAGTACAATTTAATATATATATTTAAAAACTTTCACTATTTCGAAAAACTAGATATTAATGACAACGTAAAATCATACAGAAGGAATCTATCCAGTTTTCTTAAAGAGGAAAAAAGGAATTTACGTAAAGAAGAAGGGAGTATACCCTGTCAGGTCGACCTCCACGTGATTCCCCCTGAAAATCATCGTGACTAATTCTAGTTGAATTCGTCAGGATAGGCTACATTATATATAAATACACCATTCCATCTTCATTCAATAAAATATTAGTTGCTCTAATATATATTATAGCTGCTATCCAAGAAATACTAGTATATATATATATATATATAATACACTACTATGTAGTGCGATATTTATGTAGTATATGAATTAGGTAGTAACTTATGTATGTAAATGTTCATATGGTTTCATGTAGAACTATAGTAGTGTTTAGTGACACTTTAAAGAATTTTCCCTTAAAAATTTCTCTTTGTTCAAGGCGATTGACGCAACTAATGTTCACTTAAGCTCGTCATTATGTAGGAAGGTACCTTTACTCAGGTATGTACTTTACAAATAAGTAACATTAAGTTACCTAAGGCTACCTAATATTTACACCTGCATAATATCGTCATAAGAATAAATATTGTTATGGTATCATTTGAATTCGTATAATTTATGGTTACAACTACGTACTTAATGATTCGTCAACTTCTTTAAATGTTAAGCAATTTGTTTTACATAAATTAGATCTAATGAATGATAAATCTCTGATTCGATTATCTGAAAATTAATCCTAGCTTGATTTTCAGACCTAATTATATAGTATTTATACTTTATTGATGATTGTTAAGTATAAATTTTTTATCTTTACTATACTTACTTACTGTACTACTCATAATGCTTTACTGGTACTCCGCAAGCAATAACGCAGGCGGGCTTACCATTATATTTTCAATTTTCATCAACTTAAAAAAGCTATCTAAATTAAAATAAACATAATTTTTATACCTACAAAGTACAAATTTGCTATGAATTAAATAACTAAATAAATTAACTTTTTCTCTTACGATTTCTATAGTAGAACAGGTATAATTATTACTTGTCCTGTGGTACAGGAGCGAAATTAATAAAAATGAATATTGCGGAAAGGTGATGAACTTAAAATTAGAATCTAAGAATGTAGATATCTTTACACACTTAGATTTTTCCTTAAGCGTTTATGTATTGTATACATGTACCAAAATCTGAGTAATGCCTCATTGCCTCAATTACAATAATTTAATTTTGCCTATTTGCCTTCCGTATGAATAGAACACTCGATCACACATCATTGCGTGATGCGGCAGTGCAAAGGAAACATTTCCCGCGTCCCGCCATTGCGGACAACGACCCCACGACTTTCGCCGCAACCTTGATTGACTGAGCACTACCGGCGCGTTTGTATTTCACAGTTCACACCATTTCCCATTCCCATAGTCCATAAATTCACTTTCGCTCTTCATCAAATCTGCGAATATGATATCCATTATCATTCTATTAACTCTATCTTTTAACGCTAACTTGGCGACATTATATTTACTTTATACTTAAACAGGGAAAATTACCTACATATGCAAGCAATATAGGTAATTATACACATTTTCACAGCGGAGACCTGCAACATGATTTGTAATGGAATTCAAAAGCGTTTAATAAAGTATTATTAGCCTAAAGATTTTAAATATGATTTTATTAAATCTGGATATCTAAATAGTATTTATATGCTCTTACGAACCATTTGAGTCAAAACATGATCTTGTAAGTTAGCCTTCTCACCTAGGTAGGTACCCGGATCCAATTACAGGTGCTAAGGGTAGTTGCATCAAACAAAGTTGCACAAAACAACATGCCTGATTTAATCAGTATTATAAATAAAAAAGAAATCGATATGTGTTTTGAAGCTGAGATGCCACAGACAATTTTAGATATTTAAATTTTATTAATTTCAGGAATCCGGACCGCATCGATGATCTCGTATGGACCAATGAAGAATGCGCAAAATATTATCTTTGTGTAGACGGCGATGTATTTGAGTTCCATTGTTCCCAAGACTTGCTTTTTGATGTCAACCGACAATTATGCGACAAGCGTCACAATGTGCATAACTGCGACTTAACAACCGGTAACCACTGTCACAGATAAAACCACAATTTAAATAAGTTCCTTAGACTGTGTAAATACTTTACCCAATTTTGTGTAAAATTAACAATGATAATTAAACTTCTCATCCGTGATTATACGTTCCATGTCAAACATGTCAAAATAAACAAACAAACTTAACAGACATTATACTAATGTTGACGCTGTATAAATTCCAAATTGTAAGCAATTAAATATTTTTAAATACCTAGGCTTCCAAAGTCCGATCGATAAACTGTCATGATGATATCATAACTGTTTTCAGAAACTCGCGTACCAAAACCCTTGTTGGTTGGAGCAAGATGCGCGAATGAAACGCACCTAGGTTGCGCCGACGGCACATGCCTGCCGGCAGAATACTTCTGTGACGGGTCCATAGACTGCGACGACTCTTCTGATGAGGTATACTAACTACTTGTAGTAGAATTAGAATAAAAAAAAACAAAAGAGTCAATACGTATAGAGTTAGGTTTAAGATTTGACTAAAGACTAAAGTATCGAACTATGGTATAATATATATGGTAGAATATAAAAAAGCTCTTAGCACCTAAATATTTTTAGGTACTAAACAAAAAATAGAATATTAAAATAAGGGAAAATTCGTTCGGTGAATTTAACTCAACCTTTATTATTATTAAATAGTAACAAAATTATCAAAATATTGATAAAACTTGTAAATTCTGATAACTCGAAGATAGTTATGTAGGTACTAACTATTGACTCGGTATAAAAGACCGTAATAAAGCACCGTTGTAAAAATCAGTCCAATAGTTTTAAAGTGGTACATTAACCGATGCTCCAACATGTTAATATTAATTAATATATATTGAGTAATAATAAAACCATTTACTTTTACTAGACAGTAACAGTTTACAAGTACAAAAGTCGTTTGCTTCGGCACCTCTGTCCCGTTCGTGTTTCTAGCGGGAAGTTGTGTATGTATCGATGTGCTTCAGTTTGAAGGGTGGGATAAGACAGTGAATTTACAGAGTACAGAGGCATAACATCTTAGTCCTCAGGAATAGCAACGCATGGGGACAACGAAAGAGTATTGCTCATGTCTATAGGCGACGGTTACCACTTTTCATCAGGTGGTCCGTCAGCTTGTTTGCCATTCTAAGTTGCATAAAAAAACTGAAATTACCTACCCCGGCTGTCTGCAAACGCAAATCCCTAAAATTTCTCTCTAGCTCACGATCGGACCGAGTTACGTAAACAGAATTTGTTTACAATGTAAATCGTTTCACTCACATGACGCGATTCGCAATTCTTACATTATGTCTAACGTTCTTAAGCTCTCGATTTTCTAATTTTAGTAATCTTGTTTCCATTAACTTTCACCACATACTAAATAGAACACAACGTCACGTTTTCAAATTATCTGTAGCATTCACTATATTAGTCATTTCGTCTTTCGACAATCTAACTTGCAAAGTATCAAATATAAAATGCAAAAAAAATGCTTGTACCGTTAATCAAATGAAATGATAAAGCAGTGGTTGTATAAGGAATCACAGATGAAAAAAGAGAACAAGTTAATTGACCTATAGTGACCTACTATATATTAGGAATGAATTATGGTATCCCAAGAAAACTAAGTTTGCACTGACAAAGTATGTTGATAGTTATTCGGTAGTAAACATATCACTTAACAACGGCTGAATACATAAAGATGGGGCAGAAGGATTGTTAGTAATAGAAATTAGCAACCCTGTTGCTAGCAATATTCTCTGTCTGGTCGATCTCTACACAGTTCCCCCTGAAAACTATCGTACTTGATTTATTGTTTAATTCGCCAGAATGAGCCAGCCGACCTGCTTCATCGTAACATATCCTTCACTGGTGCACTACTAGAGTATAGCGGTAGCGCAAGCGATGTTGCCATTCCATTATCATTCAATACAAAAAAAAAAAAACACATTTAAAAATACTATTTATGTAGTTTACTAATAATATATATTATTAACGGGTTCTTGCCGTAATAATTTCATGTTCGTATTAAAACTAAACCCTCCTTATGGGGGAGGCCTATATTCACCAATGGACAATTAACGGCTGATATGATGTTGAATAAAACTCAAATAATATCTCATTAGCAAAGAAAAAAAGTTTAAATTTATACAAATTAAGTGTAATGGAGAGAGTTTTGATAGCATAGATATAGTTGATAGATTTGGATGCAGACAGTTCAGGATCATTTTTTATGGCAATCAATATATTTAGTAATAGACGGTTAACAGCTGAAATGAAACAATTATCAAGGAGGTATATGTACTAAAATTATACATATTAGGGTTGGTGTGACGTCCACTACGATCCCAATGCAGCAGAGCCGTGCGACACCAAGATGTGCCAATTGCCAGATTGCTTTTGTTCCAGAAATGGTACTGAAACTCCCGGGAATCTCGTGCCAAGTCAAGTATGAAAACATGTTCTAGAATTTATTTTATTTCAGAGGGTCTTTTTTTAATTCGTAATCTAGGCATAGCTATAGCGAGATAAATAATAATGATATGTATATAATGCATTAAATAATGACTAGTTTGGGCTGGTTCATAAAAGTATATACATTTTGAACTAGCTTTTCGCCCGCTAATTTACAAGCGTGTATTTCAGAAATAGAAAAACCAATTAAATTTGCCACTTCTAAATGGCGTATTAAGATTTAACACACACCAGATTTTAAGTCAGAAATACTACTGTGAAAACAGCATCCAATTCAGTTCAGTACAAATATACATAGAAAGACATTTTTATTTTTATATATTGTTTTGGCACCTATTAGTCTAATTAAGACCCCTCCATCAATTTTTCTCAAATATCTCCCATGTACTCGTTCAGATATCGTGTAATTACCATTTAAAGATAGAAGATTCAATTCTTATGTGAGCTAAAAAAACATAGAACCTATTTATTAAATTATATGGAATTTCAATAAGTTATCCCTGAAAAGTAGTAAAACAATGTGCGCTTACAAAACTTTTAACAATAAACAGACAAAGAAACAAATTAATTTCCATTTCCTAACTTATTTAGATAATAGATACTTACCTATAAAGTGTTTTGTTATCAGCTTCTATTTTTAAACATAAAAAAAAAAAATTAAACCGACATCAGATTAACAATTTTTTCAACAACAGACTCCTCAAATGATCACGTTGACATTCGACGGTCCCGTAAACCACGAGAACTGGGAGGCGTATGGCAAACAGCTGTTTACTGCTGAGAGGCGGAACCCCAACGGGTGCCCCATTAAAGCTACTTTCTTCGTATCCCACCTCTACACTAACTATAGACATGTGCAGAAACTATGGAACGATGGACATGAAATCGCTATCAACTCTATAACGTAAGACAATAAAAATATAATATTTTTAATTATTGTGCCCGCGACTTTATTCACGTAAATATGAAAAAAAAGACATTTCTACATCTCAAATATTATCTGTATAAAAACCTATTTGACGGCGTTTTAAAAAGATGTAATAAATACTTTGTATATATATCAGGCACCGAGGTCCAGAAGAATGGTGGTCTAAAAACGCTACTGTAGAAGACTGGTTCGACGAAATGGTTGGTCAAGCGAACGTTATCAATAGATTTGGTAGAGTTCGCATGGAAGACTTCAGGTTGGTTGCCATGTTTTTTATTATGTATCCCAAAACAATTTGAAAAACAACGATCTTTTTTCCCCATTAAAACTTATGAGCGAAATACCCCTTAACCGATTGATAACGGTTATTATTAAAATGGATAACAATATTATTTAACAGAGGTCTTCGAGTGCCATACTTATCAGTAGGCTGGAACCGGCAATTCCTAATGATGCAGGAATTCGGCTTTGTGTACGACGCGACTGTGGTGGCTCCACTTGCCGACCCTCCCTTCTGGCCATACACTCTCGATTACAAGATGCCCCATAAATGCACAGGTACTTATTAATATTCTATATACGAAATGGGTTATTATAGATATAACCGGAACAAGTTGGATCGATATACGCTGTTAGCTCGACCTCCACGCGATTCCCTCTGAGAGCCATCCTTGGTACTTATGAAATCGTTATGATAGGCCAACTGACCTGACTACATCGTAACCTATCATCACTTACTGAAACCGCTAGCATATACCGATTCTGTTACAAATAAAAACTTCTAAGCACTACATACTTACAAAATGCAATGTACCTGCAATTAGATGGGTACTTTATATTTACGCTAGGATACTTTTTATTGGAAGTACTTATAAATAATAACTAAGTAGAACGTGCGAATAACGATTAGGTAAGATGCAACGAAGTACCTACAATTGCAATAAATGTAGACATCTCGCCGCAAGAAGAATGAACCGCGCGCGCGATGCACGCCATTGTTTACGACTAATGATATAACGCTCCACCGCTAAATGAGAATGCGGAATACGATGCTTTTCTCAATAAATATTACAATTACTTTAAAATTTTTCATAAATAAAATAAATATTAAATAGTATAATAAATATTAATCTAGTATTTAATCTCTTGCTAATTCTTTGGCACTAGGCACTCTCTGTCTATCCCCCAAGAGATTAAATGGTAAATCTAAATTTTATTTTATGCCGTCGTCTGATTAATATAATTGCAAAGCCCCGTACGCCCCCTGAATACGACTTCCGGATGAAGTCGAAACAATTATCGGAAACGACAAGCATAGTATAAGTTCATAAAATTTCCCGTTATACATGTATATAGACATCAATATAATTGTGATTGCGATGTTGTGTACTTTGTAGGGCCCTGCAATATTACTGAAAATAAATATGAATCAATAAAAAAATATCAGTATCCTTATAAAAAGGAAAATGTTCACAATTGCAATAATAACTCTTAATAGAAATATTAGAATTAGTCATGTAATCAAATATTCAAATTTTATGTTCCAGGAAATAACCAATACTGTCCTACTAGGAGTTATGCCGGTTTATGGGAAATGGTCATAAATCCACTATTAAATGGTGGACACATCTGCGCCACATTGGAGTACTGTCCCTCAACTCTGACTGGTGAAGATGTCTACAATGTCCTAATAAACAACTTCAAAAGGCATTACCTAAAAAACAGAGCACCTTTTGGTATACATCTTAGTTCTACGTGGCTGAAGAATAATAACTACACATTTGCTTTGAAGGTAGATAACATAAAATATATATAATGTGAAAGACGGAGAATATATGACGCCAGGGTTGCAGAGGTTGAATTTTTACCAATGTTATTAGGTGTTTTCATTACATTTCATCGAGCTACAGGGGGAGGCCTATGTTTAACAGTGGACAATTAAAGACTGATATAATAAAGCAAGGGGCATGCCTACCATAGCATATGGCCTAATTTGATTTGCTTATCAACATAGTAGGAATTTTAAATTCGTATAATACACACAATTTTTGGTATCCAGATTCCAACTCACTTATATACTTAATCACTTAGATTATATTAGTGCATACCTACATAGATTTTTTTTTTCTTTGAAGACTAGTTTCTTAAATGATTTACATCATTTCATCAAACTTTCATGAAATTAATTACTCAAACCTAGTAATTTCATTTAAATTAAATGGTGCTCAAAACAATTCTGGCTACATGAAATTAATACATGTATTATAAAATTAGAGGTTAAATCATGAAACTGATGATAAAATTTAATGTTGTGAAACCAGTTTCACACCACCAGTTCTACAATATAAATTAAGCTTTGTTTTTGAAATTAAAATTACAAATTTATTTTACAGGCATTTTTAGATGAGCTATTAAAACTACCAGATGTATATTTTGTCACATACAAAGAAGTTATTGATTGGATAAAACGGCCCACTCCTGTACTGCAACTCAAAAAGTTTGAGCCATGGCAATGCAAGCAAAAACAATTTGAAAATAATGAAATAGCATGTAGTAAACCAAAGACGTGTAAATTACCTTCAAAAGTACTACAGCATGATAAGTATATGATAACATGTATGGACTGTCCCAAAAGTTATCCATGGATACGAAATGAATTTGGCTTTGATTGAATTATCAAGTAGCACCACTACAGGTGTTATATGATAGGTGTATTAGTTACCATAACTTAATTTTTTATATAAAATAAAAATTTAAGTACATGTTTAAATAATCAGTATTGAAATACTTGTTTTCTATTTTTTTTTTAATTTAATTTGACAATGTGTGCAATAATTTATTAAATAAATTATATTTTTTTAAATTTTATTTATTATATTTAATCACACCATACATACTTTGACTGAAAACAATTAATTCGAAAAATAATGTCATACTATCCATGCTGTGTAATAATAAAGATAACAGTAAGTATCACAGACTTATTTTGAATCCTTATATTTAAATTAATGTATTTCTAAAGAGTATTAAATAAACTTATCATCCATGTGTTTCTCTACTAGATTTTACTGTTCATAGCACATTTTAATATGGATTTCACTGTCATTTACATGTTTTTTTATTTAGAGATTGCACCCACATAAAGCTGATTAGGTTCCTACTTGTCAATAAAAAAGTAGTGGCTCTCCTTAAAATTATTTAATTATAATATAACTTACAAATTACAAAATCATTAAAGCAAAAGTCTCATACACTTATCCCTCTTGAGTAATGAAAGGATTTGGTATGGCTTCCATGCCATCCATGGGACATATTAACACTACTGATGTGCCACGGCAGACCACAAGACCTAATGCTCTTGTGTCCTCCAACAGTTTATAAGGGTCATCAGGATCTGAAAGACAAAATTATAAATATTACTTCTACTGTTATAAATGTGAAAGTTTGTAAAAATTTTTGGTTATTTAGATGATATGTGTTAAGTTAAATAAACTAAACAGATTTATATGAAATTTGGTACAGGAATGTAATATATCCCAGATATATAAATAAGATACATTTTATACTAACTGCTAACTTATTAACTATTATACATTCATAATAAATAAAAAATAAGATTAATAGTAATTAATAAAAATAATTAATTTCATTCTTCCTCATCAAGAGGAATAAATGTTATAATAAAAATAGAGCAAATATAATTACCTCGTAGAAACTCTGTAGTATTATCCAGTACAAGATTCAATAAGGGATCATAGCCTTTTAGTATACCAGCCGCTTCGCGACCGCCGGCAAATTTAACACGAATGCTTTTCTCTAAATATTTGCTGAGATCAAGAATAGACTCCTTTCGACGTTTCTCTTTATTGTCCCCTGCGCTTTGGCTACCCTAAAAAATATTAGATTTTGTTATTAACGTTAAATTCTAATGAGTAAAAAAGTATTTTTATCAACAAAGAATCTTACAGTTTACCTTCCCTTTTTCGCCTTCTTTTGAAGCCATTCTTTCGATTATTCAATATTTAAATCTAAATATATAACACCTACAAAATCAATATAGAAATATATTGGAACAAGTATTTGCTCAACGTTTTTTTGAGGTTATAATTAAAAGAAAACAATTACAGTAAATACAGTATAGTACATACACCTATTGAATAATTGACAGGTTGTCAGTCCATGACTGATGACATACACCTTAGATCAATAACTAATCCATTAAGATAGGTACTGTTATTGAATTTGAATTAATAAATAAAATAAATTTTTGTCCTCTAGTTTATTATTTGCACGGCGTACTATATAATATGGTAATTTACGTAGTACATATTTTTTAGGACAAAGACGGAGGGCCTTCTGTAGTTTACTTCTTCAACCGATTTCAGAAAGTGTGATTCAGTTTGTGATGATGACTCAGTGGTTTGTCGGTCAAGTTTTCAATTTGGTTGTACTTTGTTATATTTGTTACATCATAACCCTGTCAGTTTTAAACTGATTTGAAAAAGTCTTTTTTATCTGAAAGAATATACTTACTAATAGGTCTCATAAAAAAAATTATCAAAATACTGATTTTATCACAATTAAAGTTGATTTTCTACATATAACAATCTTATGTTATTATAATACATAATAATCTAAATATATCAGCTAAAGTTTAGCTTTAGCTGTGATATTTTCTTCTGATCTGCGATAACTTAACAACTCCTCTTTTTGAATCTTGACGGTCAATCAATGTTGTCAGTTATTTGTCATTCAATGGCCTAGAGGCAAGTCAATCAATAAATTGACAAAATAAAAAAATCGGCAAACAAATCTATAAAAACAACTAGACCTTAATAATTGTAAATAATTTACTTGATATAGATACAGTTTTCATTAGAATTACATGTAAACACAACTAATAAAATTTTCTGTAGGGTATTTTATTCGTGTGTGTACTCGAATGGAAAACTTCAATATTTTGTCTGATAAGCATAGCCACGTAACTTCAACCTAGTTCTAATCAAATGATTTATCAATGCGCTCTTCTGTGAGCTATATTTTGTCTCACGCTCCTGGAGAGTCGGTGATGTCACACCCTGACTACTCGCAGCATGCCCAGCACCATGCTTGCCTCCTGGTGCTGGTTAAAGGCATAGGTGGCATGCTAAAAAACTTCAACAAACTGTGGGATCGAATACAAAAGGTCAATAACATCAAAGTTACTGGTAAGTTATTTTGTATAATGCGCTGTAAATTGTACATTGTAAATTATTATAATAATAGTTTTATTTTTTATATTGGTATAAATTAATTATTATGCTTTCTAATCAGATTCAGCAGGTCAAGTAAGGGATATTTGGGTGCGATATGTCCGAGATTATCCTGTAGAGAACAATGATTGGGGTGATTTTCAAACTCATAGGTATGTTTAGTTATCATTATACTTTTTAATACAAAACATTTTGTTTGTACTGGTATTATTATACATCAAATTTGATGTCATTATTAAACAATTTTAAATATTCCCAAATCATAATTTAAGAAATGGATTTATAACCCATTGAAACAAATCAGTCAATAGGATTCCTATTAATCACCTAAATTTATATTTTATTGTAAAAACTTCTTGAAGCCTATAAAACTAAAACATAAAACTTTGCACTAAAATATTGAATATGTAATAGTATTAAATATTTAACAAAATAAGTAACATTTTGTAATCCACATCAAATTAATAGTCCACAATATTATATATAATATATTTTTAATATTATAATATAATGCTTCGGCAATATTAGTCCCTTGGAATGTACCAACATTCAACAGCAAATTTACACAGTCCTGTTCCTTGGAATACTATAAAGTACTGTGCACTAGCTTCTATTGTTAGATTTATAAATTATTAGCCACTTTTACCCATGATTATTTTTTTACTTCTTCTATGTGACTGAGATATCAACCACAATAAAACTATCCTTCTCCAACCCATGTAATAAGTCTATATGAAGTACCAAACAAATAAACTCACCTTCTAATGTAACATTAGTAAGAATTGTTATGTCCAAAATTTTCTAAAATTGTTCTTTGTTGTTATTTTAATAAATAAATACTTGTAATTATCATTGGAATATACAACAATTATTCCAATTTTTATTTCATTATCTGTATAGAAATACAATTAATTCTTCAGGCGCCTCCTTGGGCTTATAACACTGAGTAAATTCACAAACCAAGTGGAACTGAATGAGGTATGCCGTGTTCATGAATCTCTGAAAGTGAAGTACATAAACACTCTATATGATTCCCGGGCATTTATGTTTGGTCCAGTTAGTAATATGAAGAAACCAGAACAGGAACCTGAAAACTATAGTCTATTTGAAGATGATAAAGTTTTCAGGGATGGAAGTACCAGTGATAAGTGAGTAACTTTCTTCATTCTTTTCAAGGTATATAGAAATTTCATTATTTTTTTTCTTTGTGTAATAAATACACATTTTACTGAAATCATATGTATCATAATAGGGTAACATCCAATTTCCTTGATTAGTAATCTTGAAAAATGAAATTAGTCAATTGAATAAATTAACTGCTTTTTTCATTAAATCAAGGAAAAAATATAATATCATCTGATAATAGTTCCAACATTACAATTGCAGGACTTCCATGCCTAGTGAACAGTCAGATAGTTTGTCTTCATCTGAAAGCTTCCCACATTCTGTCTCATCAAACGCATCTTGTCCAGTTCAAGAAGAGAACTTTACAACACCATCCAATTTCAAAACTCATGCTATGTTCTATGGTGAAAATGATCCAGTTCCCGACTTAGAGCAAAATGTAGCAGATTTAATAAATTCCCTCTTTTGGGTTGTGGAGTCCAAAAGGTTGGAAAGGTCCAGAGAGAAACTAGAGAAGGTGTCCCTTCTTTTGGCTCCATTTGAGAAAAAAGATTTTGTAGGTAAATATTACAATTTTGTCTTCTGAACCAAGGTACATGCCTTTATTATATTATTGAAAATATTCTACTAACAATGCACCCGTGGTTGCAAAGTACACTAATTAATACTTTTTCTCTCATCTAGTAATAGTCACAGAAGTGTGGTGGACACTTCTGCTGCAAGGACCATAATTATTTATTTCTTTAACAAATTACAGCCATATGCTGGAATCGCCACAGTTCATTTCCAAATAATAATAAAATATTTTTTTCATAACCACTCCCTTAATCTAAGAACCTAAATCTCGCGATCAATAAAGTTACCTAGGTACAACTTAAATATATAATCAGCTATTTCTGTATTTATATATTTTTCTCTGACACTTTTGATTGAAAAATATATTGAACGGCAATTAATATGCCTACAGGTCTTGATATGGAATCTCGTAATAATAAAAAGCGATGTATGGGCCGCGTGACGAAGAATTTAGCTGATCTAACATTGCAAGCAGGATTAGTAGCTGAGAGCCTTAGCTTGTATCACAACTCTGCAGAAATACTCAAATCAGTTAATGACTGGCTTTGGTTGGCTGCAGCTAAAGAAGGTAATTTAAATAGAAGACCAAAATTTTTTTTCAAGCATTTATAAGCATTTATATAGTCTAATGGAAACAGTATATCATTTTGGAGCTTAACCCAAAAATTGTTTAATAAATGAAATAATTTTTACCAAGGAACACATCTAATCAGATGTGCAAGTGAAGTTATCCATATTTTTTTGTCATCAGTTGAAAAATTAATCACTATATTTTTTTTATATATGAATATATAATTATATTGATTTATTTCAGGACTGTGCGCAGCTTCAGCTATACTTCTTTACCCAAACTTACGAAATTCAGAACCTTTACAAAGAAACGCTAGTTTACAAGAATGCTCCCCTAACAAAACCAAATCATTATCTCTGTTCCATCCGAATATGGAACCATTTCGAAAATATAAAACTACTTCATCGAGTCCTCTTCGATCTTCAAAAGCTTCTAGTCCTGTCAATCCTCCAAGTGAACTAACACCATCATCATCTGATAGTGTGGAATCCTCATCAAGACAATCGGAAACTGATAACTGTGATACGGAATCATTGGCCTCCTCCAGTGATATTGAGTATCAAAGCCAGAAATCATTTTTGAGCCCTGATCTGCCGTCTATTCCAAGGCAACCACCATCACAGCTTCAAAATCAATATCTTCTGAATGGGGAGGATATTGCTGAGAAATATCGTAAAGCAATTATTCACTATAGTAAATATCAAAATGCTGGAATTATAGAGACTGAAGCGTGTTTTAAAGCAGCAAGAATTGCTGTTGAGCAGAACAACAGTTTGCACGCATCCAGCTTTCTCCAAAATGTTATTTTCATAAATTTGACCCTGAGTGAACAAGAGAAGATTCAAAGATTTGACACTCTTGCTGAACTTTATAAAGAAATTGGTTTGTATCGACTATTATATTATTACATACTAACGACCCGTCCCTGCTTCGCATGAGTAGGTTAGGTAATTGTAATTTTTTTTGAAAATACAACCTTAAGAAAAAGATAAAAAATTAAAATCGGTTAAGTATTTTTTGAGTTTACAAATTTTGTAGTGATAAAGCAAGAACACATTGTGCCCACCAAAATTTTTCATTCCAACTAGGAAAAGCCAATGCAATAGAAGGAAAACTCAAAACATTACGCATACCGCCAGGCCAGCATGGTAGTAGCGGAAGGCCTCTAATGAATAAACCCATAATAGTGGAACATTCATTGTCGAATTTAGGGTTGTTATTAAGGGGGGAGGGGAGGTCTGACCCCTTAAGGTACATATGTGCTCTCAGACATAAAGCTCCACTCACATTCTGGGGTGAGTACCAGATTAATTAATAATTGTGGTGAATACAGTCCACACCAACCCCTCTTAAATACGCTTATGAGAACATTAATACTTTGTTTTGATGATTATTATTTGAATGGCATGAAATATGATTATGCATCACTATCAATTTTGATCTCAGGTTTTCTTCGTAAAGCAGCGTTTTGTCAGCGTTTAGCTGCAACCCGACAAGTGAGCCCTAACAATCCAAATCCAGACTGGCAGCGATGCTATTACCTCATGCTGGACAGTTTTCCGGGACATAAGCTGAGTCTGGATCCTAATTACGTTATTCAGCATCAAGTTGGTAAGTTGATGTAAAAAGTTTTAAAGAATATATAACTATTGTAATTCCCTATGGGGTAGTCAGAAGCCATTAGTAATTTGCGTTTGTATAGTCGTAGCATTCGACTTGTCTGCATTTCACTAACCAAAATTCGAATCCAATATGACAAGTGGCGAGTTGTTATTTTAAATTAATTAGTAGTTTTAAATCGCCAAAGATTTTATCAAAAAAATTAATTGACAAAGCCGGCTAGTTTCTGACTAAAAAGTTCATAAGCTTTGAGATTTATAACTCCTAGCCAAACCAATAAATTTGGCTTCGCCACAACAGCACCAAGTTTTAATAAGTTAATAAAAGCTATGAAATGTATACATCATTGTTTATGTTAATATTTAGGTTGGCCTGCCCTGCAAATTCAACTGCTTCAAGAGTTGGTAGTGGCTGCTCGAAGAATGGGTAACCCGGCTTTGGCTACGAGACACATGACATTTTTATTGCAAACAATGTGGCCGCATTTGTCGCGGCAAGAACATAGAGATTTAGCCATACAATTACAGGTATCTTCATATTTCAGCTTGTTTATTATTATATTTATTTTCTTAAGAAGACCATTTAGGTAAATATTATTGAACATGCAACAATATTCATTCTTCTGCCAACTTTTAATTTGATAAACATAAAACATGAATCTAAACCAATTTCTAGTCTTTTTTCATTAATTATTCAACAAGTGCTTTTTTAGTAATCTAAATGTTATTATTTATTGTTAAATTATCTTTGATAAATGTAATAAATATTTACGATGGTGCCTTACTTCGCTAAAGTTATGAACGCCTTTAAATGCAGCTGGATATCCCCCCTAACTTATTCTTCTCCCCTTTGGCCACAGGCACTATCAGCACAGTGCGAAGGCGGGCCAGTACCTCTGGTGCTACCGACAGGTGCAGTGGTGCCGCCGGCAAGCTTGTCACATGTGCCACAGTGTAGTAGTTTCACGCCACGCCCGCCACCACCGCCAAGAGCACCACATCTCGTCAAATTAAAGACTCAACAAGGGCCCTTCATATTCACCCCAATACATTTTGGCACTTTAGAACGCAAGGCTAAAAAAGATGAGGGGAAAATGGGTAAGAAAATTGTATAATTAAAGCTATAATTTTTATTTTAATGCTAGGACTCTTATGCAGGATTTACATCAACCGGCATCAAACAAGCACGATCGCTTCCGTCCGAACAAAGAACTGCTCAGGAATTCGAACGTATACAGCCGCATCCATCCGCTGTCGAACTCATCTCTCTAAACATTAAATTAGAAAATGACAGTAACATAGAATTGTATAAGCGTCGTGTGAATATGAAAATTAAATCATCGTGAATATGATTTTATTTCCTCTACCGCATTGGAAATTCGAAGCATCCTGCTTGATATAAATCGCGCTGACTGTGCATTAATATATATATCTACAAAAAAGCATTCATTGCGTAATCCAATATATTGGGTGCAATGTGATTATCTAGAAACTATTAGAGAAGGGCTGGTGCTATACTGTAATTTCTTTTGATTCTGAATGCCAAAACATATTCGACTTACCTTTCAATTTATCGATGATAATATTTTTTTCTACAGATTTAATTAAACTTAAAAATAATGTATAATTTACAGAGTATCTTTGGGTGGAAGACGACATCTGTGAGGTCCAAATGAAACTAACAAACCCATTACCGTTCGAGTTAAAAGTTTCGAATATGCGACTACTCACCTCAGGGATAGTCTTTGAATCTATTCCGGAGACCATAATATTAGCACCAGACACCCCTACCACTGTTAATCTTCACGGAACACCAAAGGAAGTGGGCGAATTGCAAATACTAGGATACTCAACACACACGCTTGGTGTAAAGTCTAATTGTAGACTGAAAACTATGCCAATGCCAAACAAATTCCCAGCCTTATACACTATCGAAGTCATTCCTAGTCTGCCGACAATTACTATTGAGACTACAGTTTCATCTGCAGGATCTATGAGTCTATCCAGCCTCGAGAATGTGGGTAGTACGACAAATATAACATTACACAATGGAGAAAGCACCGAGTGCTACATGAAAATTACGAATACTAGTAATGTGACGATTGAATATCTTGATATTGCTATACAGGTAAGGAAATTAAGGGAAAGAGAGTATGTTTTATTATTTTCTTTCAGTTTGTTCGCAAATACCATCAGATTTTATTTCTAACTAACCTACTAGTATATAAACTAATATTTGCGAAGTATATGCAATAATTTTAACTAAGTAAATGTACACATTTATTGATAGTTCGATATTATATTTGAAGTAATGGAATTGTCGCGTCGGCAAGACAATAATTCCTAAAAACAAGATAAAACTCCGCCTAAAATTTAAATACTATATAGACTGAAATATAGAAAAGTTGCATTAATGACAGCGTAATTTATTTGTGATACGCTCTTAGTATTTTAACATTCCAACTCCCGAGCTTTCTTGGAAAAAATGGTTTAAATAAAGTAAATAGGTACTATCACAAAATCTATGATTGTTATACCAATATTTTCTCTTGCAACCTATTTAACATATTTAATACAAGGTAAAATATCATCCGTATATTTCAGTCAAATATGGACAGCCAACTTCAATCAAAGATATTCCAATATTCTAATGGAGATATACAAGCTCAACTGCCGATAGCCCCTAACGAGACTGCAACTATCAATATGAAGTTATATGGAGAAGCCGATTTCCTCGATTTGGGTGGTGTTGGAGGTGAAAATCTGTTCCCCAACAGCCTGACTTCAAATTATCCATCAAGAGTTGGATCACCGGTGCCTAATACCCAAACATCCCTGCCCACGCAAAGTTCCAACCCGCAAACGTCACTGAGCAGTGGTCTTATGCCTAATAGAACATCTGGAAGCTTTAGGTAAAGTTATTTTAACGTCACTAAACTTCAATGGTAATAAATATGCGTACTTATTATATATCTAAATTCTTATTAATGGATTTAATTCTATTATAAATGTAAAAGTTTGTTAAGATTTTCCTATTTAATCACGCTTAACCATCTGAACGGATTTGAATGAAAATTTGGTACATGGGTAGACTGTATCGTAGTTTATCTCGGGTTATTTTATATATTATATATACTTCTATTGAGTTCCGCAGGCAGTCTCGGAAAATATTTGGTATGACAATTTAGAGTTTTATTATTTCTTTACATTTCAGATCAACAAACTCTCACACAACTAGTTGGTCAGCGCCAATTTCCGTTATGCCCCCGTCTCGCGGCCGCCAAATAGAAACTCAGGTATTTAAATTTAAAATGGGGTAGTAATGTATTAATATTGTTTTTATTATTATTATGAATTCTCACTTTCCCGAGATAACACTATATTCGAATCTAAACAAAAAGAAGCGAGACGCCTATTTCTAAATGTGATTTGCTAAGTAGCATTATTTATCACTGAAAACTTAGCTATTAATTTAAATAAGTTGTGTTGGCATGACTGTGTTTCGGTTTGAAGGGTGGGATATGGCGTGAATTTACTGGGTACAGAGGAATAACACCTGAGTCCTCAGGAGTGGCAACGCATGGGGAGTATCATGGGCGAAACAGTATACTCTGTTATGTCCATGGTACTGCTCATGTCTATAGGCAACGGTTACCACTTTCCATCAGGTGGGCCGTCAGCTTGTTTGCCATTCTAAGTTGTATAAAAAAAAAAAAAAAAAAAAAAAAAAAAAAAAAAAAAAAAAAAAAAAAATATTACACGGTCTATCAAGTCCCAAATTAAAAATAGTCTACTACGACAGATAAACAAGACATTTATACCATGGAACTTTTGTTAATATAACATTTTTTTTTTATTATAAGGGAGTTTCTTATCGTTGATTAAGATTGTTTTATTATTGTGTCAGGTAATAATAAGATATTCGGGCGGTGCTGGCAAGGAAATGCACTGTCGTCAATCGACGTTGCAAATCAATTTGGAATTGTTGCCTAGTGTGTCTATCACTCATTGGGACGTATTGCCAGCCGAGATGTAAGTTTATTCATACATAAATATTTTTTAATTAATAATTTTGATATTTAATGAAGAATCAATGTGGGCCTCTCCCTAATTGAGACGAGTAGCGACATTAGCGGATAACTTTGAAAGCTCAGAGGGCCTACCATGAAGTGTTTTCCGAAATTTCGGATCCGAACGAAACAAAAATTTGATGCTAAAATTACATGATATGTACCGTTTAAAAATATTAAAAATGCTAAAGTATCGTTCCTTTGAACTTTTATAATAGGACTTATGACAAACGAAATGTTAAGCTCCATTTACAGGGTCGATTTCGGTGCGAACAAAAACACGAAATTGAGCCCGAAAATTCGGAATTTCATTTCATGGTAGTCCCCCTGATTTTTATAAACTAGGGACACGCACGAGCTAAATTTCGATAACAAAACTACTTATCCGGTTAAAACTAAGCCTAACTAACTCTCTAATAATTAACTAATCTCTCAATTTTAAACGAACAGTGCACATTTACAAAACTTCATTAAAATCGGTTGTGCGGTTTTGGAGATTATCTTGAACAAACATCGTGACTCGGTATAAGATATAATCACGTAATGAGCATATAAACATTGAACAGATAATTTTAAAATTGTTTTAGTAAAATTTACTAAAATTGGTTTATTATATTTATTCAAATTAAAGCGCGACATTGAAGGAATTTTAAATCTCATTAGCATATTTTTTTTATTTTAGTTTTGACTATTATCTTTTCTTTTGTTTTATAATCTTTTGTTCAAATCAATATTTGAAAATTTCTTATTCCTTATTTATACTTATATAAATGAGACTAAAAATATTAAAGTCTTTATTAATGTTAATTGAATTTTCAGACCTTCCCAACTATACCTAGTGTTAGACGTTACAAATCTAACTTCGGAAGAGATGGATTTCCACTACGCGCCCAGTAAACACATCCTCATTGAGAGCAAGGAGTCGTGCAGGATACCAGTGCCACTCGACCGGTGCCCATTCAATGCTACGTCCAACAAAACCGACGATGGTACGTTACATAGACATAATAGAGATAGATGACCCAAATACCTCAATTATACATATATATATATATATATATATATATATATATATATATATATATATATATCTCAGATAACGGGAATCATTTTTGAGACTACTTTCGAAAATGGATTCTCGATTCAAAGTGTTATATTATGCGATATTGCCGCCAAATTGGAACCATTATTTTTTTTATAATCAATAATACTCAGTCCTGTGTACAAAATATTATGTTGTTTTTGATACCAAACCTAAAAATATTGTCGTTTTGTAAAAAAATAATAACTACGCGTAAGTTTATGTATAGAATATTTATGAATAATAACTATTATATGAGAAATAAAACGTGTAATAATATATTTAAATTTTATAGATTTATTGGAATCCAAATCCTTAAGCACCGGCACATCATCAAATAGCCTTGAATTGATGTGTTCAGAGCATATCACCAACAATGTAGACCTACGATGGCACCTCCTGCAGTCGGACATCAATGGGAAGGCGTCTGTCAAAGGCATAACTCTGTCGCAGGCGATGATGGATATTGTTAGGATGTCACCCTTGAATTGGGGTAAGTATTGTCTTTTTCAATATACCTATATATATATATATATATATATATATATATATATATATATATATATATATATATATATATATATATATATATATATATATATATATATATATACTACTGTGCTTTTTTCTAATTGCCTTTTACGTCATCCTGGTAACTAAGACCAGGCCTCGGTCCATGGTGTTATCCATGTTTATAGACGACCGTTATCACGTTTTTTTAGGTCAGCTGTGGGCTTGTTTGCATGCATAAATAGTTATACACCTGAAATTTTTACAGATAAATAATTTTAATCTTTATTTTTACAGAAGTAAGCGTCAACAAGCAATGTATCAAGCCACAAGATGAATATAGTTGTTCAGCTGGTGAATGCCTATCGCTAGGTGTCGCTGTCTGGAATCATTTGACGCGACCGCTGCACAAGCTCTGTCTGTCTGTTCAGTTCTACCAGGATTACAACAATGGAGTGCTATGTTATAAGTTGGACAATAGGGTTGCCACTGCTGGAAGTAATAAGTAAGTTCAATTTTTAAATTTAATTATTAAAAATATTTAGGTTGATTTTAACGTAGTAAGGGTGTATCTGAAAGTAAGTCATCATCGTTATTATCATCATCATATTAGCCGTTATCTGTCCACTGTTGAACATAGGCTTCCCTCATAGACTGCCATAAGGAATGATCCTGAGCCACCTGCTAGTATATTCTATCAATAAAAAAAATAATTAGAGATTATATCACTGTAATGCACAGTGTTTGAGAAACTCCTTTTTTAATTTTATAAACATATATTTGTTATCATTCTATATTATAAGTGTCAACTGATATCATAAATAATGAAATAGCAAAGTGAAATTGGAAGCTGTGGAAGGTCCTTAGTCCTCAGGAATATCAATCTATGTAAGACATACCATGAGTGTCACAGTTTATTCTGACATGCAATCTATATGCAACAGTTACCACTTTGCATAAGGTGGGTTGTCAACTTCTTTGCCATTTCAAGTTTCATAAAAAATATCCTATTATTTAAATCTACCTTATATAAAATATTACTAATTATTTATTTAATTTTAGAGTCGTGTTATCAACACTAGCGGAATCTGCGAAAGCCTACCACGAGTGCACTGTAGTATTTCTTACGCCTGGTGAATACAAAATCGACATCCAGTGTTCAACTACGGAGCCGATACTGGACGACGTCATCATTAGAGATCCGGACAACCAGCCCATAATACAACCATGTACGGGCGAAGTAAGCCATGTCTGGCGATTCATACCACCTGTAGCTATAAGTGTTACTGACTAGATACTATTAAGAATATTTATTTATTTTTATATTATATATCACTTTATCGTGAAATATGTTATTCCAAAATGTATAATAAAATTAAATATATAAAGTCAGATTTATTCTTCTATCTTCATTAGTATATGAGTATTACCGTGAAGCAGTTTGAAGGGTGGAATATGGCAGTGAATTTACAGGGTACAAAGGAATAACACCTTTGTCCTCAGGAATGGCAATGCATGGGAAGTATCATGGGCAAAACGGTATACTCTTTTATACCCATGGTACTGCTAATGTCTATAGGCGACGGTTACCACTTTTCATCAGATGGGCCGTCAACTTTAACGTCAAGTGGGGGATAATAGGTGAAGGTAACGAAATCAGATGAAATCATTTACTGGAATTAATCACGATAGTTTGCATGAAGAACCGCATGAAAGTTTTTTTTTTTATGTACCACTGAGGTAGCCAACGAACATATGGCCCACCTGATTATAAGCGGTTACCGTAATCTATAAACACCTGCAATACCAGGAGCATTACGCGCGCATTGCCAATCATGAAAAAGAGCTCTTTATCCTTTTTAAAAAAAAACCCCTACGCTGTAGTCATGCGGACTATCAGTCCCATTGCTAGCAATATACTTTATCAGGTAGACATCCACGTAATCCCTCTTGGAAACCATCGTGCTGAATTCCAGGTGTATTCATCACAGTGGACTAACTGACTTGCCCTTTCATCCTCTAGTGCCATCTCAGTGTATACCGTTGGCGCAGGCGGGGTTACCATTCCATTATCAGCAATTAAAAAAAACCGCTGTAATAATAAGAATAATCTCTAAATCTCGCTGTAAAAATAATAATTTCTGAAAGAGCCTAGATGATCACGTTCAGCGGTGAACTCCTTGTCGATGGCGAGCTGTACGATAGTAGAAGGTAACCATGAGCATCATCTTAAACAATTCCTCTGAGCACAATCAGTTGTACAAGTGGTAGAACACGCAGTGAGGCAAAATCTCTCCTAAAACAAGCGTTTGATACCGTTTGTAACTGAAAAGGAGACCCCTCCCCCCTTCAACAAACGCTTAAAAGAAAGAAGAATTTTGTTTAATTTTTATTGAAAAAAATCTGTCTTGTCTTATATACTGCGTTTTTTTTTTTTATATTCGTTGAATAGTATTATATTTAAACAATTTGTTAAAAACCCAGAATTTTTTTTATAAAGGCAAAGGCGAACAAAAACAACTGAGGGGTTAATAGAAACGCGAAAAGAAAAATTAATACTCTGTGATATAGACGTCATTCAACCTTCATTCTAATGTCATTTGCCCTTCCGTTAAATATTAATAAATAAATTCATTGTTTTCAATTAATTATTAGAGAATAATTAATCACTACTTTAACTATAAAATATAGAATCTTTGTTAGTCTGTCTTCTAACCTACAGTAGCTTCTAAATAAATATGGTTAATATTCGTTGCGCTGTGACAAATTGCAAAATTACAAACTACAATAAACCACCAGGAGTTGTATTCCATTCGTAAGTTTGTTTATCTAAGTATAGTTTTCAAATACAATATAACTTTGTATTCATCATATTAGCATCTGATAATCAAATAATATAATAATTGACATTTCAGATGCCCAAGTTCTAAAGAAATGAGAAATAAATGGCTCCAAATATTAAAAAACAAATGTTCTATGTTAGATTGGTCTAGAAGTAAAATCTGCTCAAAACATTTTGAGAAAAAATATTTTGATTCTCAGAGAAAGCTCAGGGAAAACGCTATACCAACTATATTTACATTTTCTTCCAATTCGAAAATGTCAAAGGTAAGGTAATTTAGGTTATTAACTATTATTGCTATATATATATTTACTTTTTAACCTAGTTCATATCAGCCCAGCATTGTATTAATTAAAAAAAAATGTTTAATTGTTATATTTTCTACATTAAAAATTTATATTAATCTAGAATGACAAATTAGTGTACAGAATTTTATTCAAACTTGTTCAGTTATTACCGTTTATTTAACTTTATAACTTTAATGTCCAAAACAAAATATGATATAAAATGCAGACTTAATGCTACGGGCATTAAGTATTTCTCTACCAGTCAGCGTTTGGGATGAACAGTGAATCACTTTAATATATAATTTTTGTTATTATAATATAATAATATATAATACAATGCTATTAATTAATAAACTTTATAAACTTAGATCCTACATTGATAATTTAAATATCATTTATTAGGTTATGAATGTATCTGGCTAGTGCACCCATTTGAAAGTTGATCTCCTGTAACCCACTTAATAAACAGAGAGATAAAGATACATAATAATAAACTATGAGATACAGCTAGTATCTACAGACATATGTAGTATCTACAGACTACATGAATTAATACTGGTACTGGATGTTGTCTATGTGATATTATTTTTAAAATCTATGTTAATTTTTTAATGTCTACATATGTGTATAATGGGAACTTATTACGTTTATTAGTTGAAACAATTGTCAGAAATACAATCATAGTAATTTAATAAAATACCCATTATACAATTATATATAGACAGTCTATTTATTCAGAATAATTATGATCTTTCTGTATTCTATTCAAATCCAGTAAGCTATTTAATTAGTAGTAGAATACTAAAACATCTTTACAATTTTTGACATTTGTAAAGATATTTTAATAATATATTCAATTAACAATTTTTATTATTATAAAATTAATTAAGAAAATAGCAACATTATGTTCTCTTTATTAATGTAGACATTTTAATGATATTAAATTTAGAATAAAATTTATAGAAAAATGCCATAAATAATTTATAATTATTATGTAACAATTCATTTTCAGACTGACTCTCCTATCGAAAGAACTAAAGTAGATAGGCTGTTGAGTAGAATGAATCAAGCTCAACTCTCCTCTGATATTAAAAATACTTTTAATAAAATTAAGGTGCCCTCAAATTTAGACATTTTCATAACAGATGATCTTAAATGTAAACCAGATTCACCAATTGAGGCTCATTTATGGTTGCTAATAAAAAAACAGGACTATTTGAATGGAATGCTAACATCACAACTGGCACGAAATAAGAAACAAGTAGAAACTCTTCATAAGAACCTCGATGAAATCAGAACACATAAGAAAGACACAGAACAAAATATAGACACTTTGAAGTACATTGTGAAGTGTCTACAAGAAAAACATGCTACTCTTGAAGAACAGATTGAAATTTTATCAGCAGTGGAGTCAAGATAAATATTATGTTAAGTTCATTAAAATATATTGCATGTTTGAAGGTGTACACTTGTATATCAAAGACAATTGTGTGGTACATGTAAGACCTGCATAAATAATAAATATTTTTCAAAAGTGTCATTTGTATGATGTATGTACTTGCATAAATAATTCAAAATCAACTATGAGATTTATTAATTTTTATTTAATCTGTCACACACATATATATGTAACAATTCAATTTAATAGACTGAACTATAAAAGGAGTGTATGCATTTCCTTAAAGATTGTATGTTAAATAAAATATTTGAAATTGTGTCAAAATAAGATTTGTATTCATCATAATAAAATGTCTTAAAAGCAAGTGTGTCATTTAAATACAAATGATGAATTAAAATAACACATGAATGAAACCCTCTCAAACCCCTTTAAAATTGAATGTTGAATTCTGTATTCTGTAAGAAAAAGCAAACAGTTTTCTGATAGACAGAAAAAACTTATAAAAGGAAATCTGTTACGGGCAAAAATATCATTTGACTTTGTGCACTGATTCAGATTATTCTCACATTGAGTTAAGGCAACATAAAAGGAAAAACAAATTCTTCATAAATAATTTATTTACATATTGCATATCCAATTTACATAAAAAGAGAATAATAAAATATTCAATAGAAATTTGATTGAGTTTCAGGAATGATTAAATCTATATATCCTTTAATATCACAAATACTTCAGTCTTATTTTTTTCGTAATTGTTTTTCGATTATTTCTCTTAATTTTAACTTTTTACTCACTTTGTTTGTATCTTTTAGTGGTCGACCCAGAGGTATAATCTCCATTTGTTGTAATCGGCGTCGGAATTTTTGATAAAATTCAAGAACATTTGGATCAGCCCACACATGACGAGAATCAAAATCTAATACTCTTAATGTATCTAAACTTTGAGCTCTACTCAAGGCTACATATGCTTGACCAGCTTCAAATATTTTAGATAGAGACATTTCTACACAATCTAAAGTCAGTCCTTGTGACTTATGAATAGAAAATGCCCATGCTAAGTTTAGAGGCACCTGTCGACGACATAGCAAAGAACCATTTGAATTTTTAACATACCATCGCTCTGACCTTGCTGTATACTCTTTTTTATTTTTAAATCTAACAACAGGCAAGCTATCTTCAAACCTCACAATTACACCTCGAGCCCCATTTACTAACCCAGCATTAACATTTATATTTTTCAATAACATAACTTGTGCTCCTATTTTCAATATTAATTTTGATGGAGCGATTGTTTGCATGTCAAGTATTTTGGTCGAATTTTCACTATCTTGTGCTGTAAAAATCTTCTCATCTCCTTCTAAATCTGCTAATTTTGAGTCATTTATCATTTTAGAATCATTTGTATGAGAACATAGCCTTGTAGCTAAAATACCATCACTCTCAATTTTTTGTTTAGAAGTACCTATAAGTCTTTCACTAATTTCGTTTGTCACATGACCTATTCTTATTTTATTGAGTATTGTTATGAATTCTTGGTCTTTTTGTCTGTGTACTTCTTTCAATTCAAAACATAGATCAATACATTTATCCCAGCAAGGTGACTGGAAACAAAATCTTTTACCAGTTTTATTTTTGTCTACAACTGGAGGCAGTTGTAGAAAATCGCCACAGAGTATAAGCTGTATTCCTCCAAAAGGTTTATCATTTTTTCTTACATGTCTAGCCACTGCTTCCAATTTCTAGAAAGGAATAGATTTTTTATTAGTGGTGTTTTAATAGGTTATATACAAATTTTCGTAATCAATTTTACCAATTAATAAATAATGACAAAACTTGTATATGATGCTTGAAGATTGTCTACTGTAATATGATATCACTGACTATACCATATTGCTTGAAGTTATGCTTTAGCAGCCTACTATATTTTGAAGAAAAATTAATTAAAAATAACCAATTTTTGGGGGTTCTATTAACACCACTAAATAGTCGGAGATAATTTCGAGTAACCAGTTAAATAACCTATATTTGTTTATAGTTGCAATACAATATCATGGTAGATCAAATTAAATTCCTCGCCCATAATCACCCTCAGTACCTACATTTCATACCATTTTATATATTATTTACCTCAAAAAATGCTCCATCAACCATAGAAATCTCATCAATGATTAAATGTTTGCATTTTCTCCATTTTTGTGTAACCAAAGGCAATTTCATAGCTCTTTCACATAAAACTTCTAATGAACCACTTCCATCTCCAATACCAGCAAATGCATGTAATGTTGTGCCTCCTGTAATATATAAACATTTATAATTAACATTGGGTTAAAAAGATTAAAATGAAATATGTGTTCTGTAAGAACTTTCAATTAAAAAGGATGAATACAAAATTTGTCCCTGGTGGATAATATGCTGGATGAAGCCACTTAAAAAATTCATATAAATAGCGGCTAAACATTATTAATTCTATTTAAAATAACCATTTTAGTAATGGTTATAATTTCCATTTTATACAATGTAATAAAAACTTTATGTGACATAGTATCACTTATATCTTGTAAAATTTTATGAAGAATTTAATCTATAAATTATATCATGCAGTAATAGATGCATAAGATAAAATATAGGCTTTTATTTTTGCTATTTGTTTATGGGATGGTATGATGGTAGAGAATGGTTAGCTGGTAGAGAATGCCATATGGCATTAAGCTCGCCATTTGTACAAAATTTTATTGTGCAATAAAGAATAAATAAATAAATAAATATCTTAAAGATGATGGATATTAACTAAAAATTGTATTACTTACCAACATGACAAGCTGCAACACCAGTAGAAGCTGTAGGCACAGTTACATCAGGCGGTAATGCTGCCACAATTCTTTTCAGTAGGAAACTTTTACCTGTCCCTGCAGAACCCGTAAAAAAAATATTCTTGCCACTAAGGCATGCTTCTAAAACTCTCTGCTGTTCTGCATTTAACGAACTCATGTTAGTCAATGGTGAAGGTGAATACAACTTTTTAGGTGCTGGTCCTCTGCTAATATCATCAGATTTACGCTTCTTGGAAGGTGGAGAAGGCGTCGTAATTGTTGATTTTGGAATTTTACTCTTAGCGTTGTGTATATCGGCCACAGTCACAGGACTGATCTCTTCAAAAGCTTGCGCTTTACCACTTAGCAACTTAGTTCTCATGTTCTGTTTTGAGAGCGTGGTATTTGCGATTTTTTCTTTATCACCAGTCATTTTTACAAATATCGTACGCAGAAACGAAACTAGGTTAGTTGGTGGTGCATTTGAAATAAATAAAGTGCATCCTACCTCTTGAAACTTTACACTAGCTTTACCTTCTATCATAAACTTTTTAAATACATTTATTCCTTTCAATGCTAAGCGAATAGGGGCATTTTTATCATTTGATATTTCCATAAACATTTCTCGAAATTCGTTGCGAATTAATCGAAGTGAAGCAGTTTTGTAAGTCACCTTTCTGATAATTGAACCTTCGGGTGTAGTCCACTCTACAGTTACTCCACATGACAAAAATGATTCTCCTACGTCCATCTAGGTAAATTGCGAATATTAAATCACTACAGAAAAGATAATAATAAATGCAGACGAAACAGCAAAAATTTTTAAAAAGAATCCGTCAACCGACCAGTCAAAATATAATGACAACTGACAGACAAAAAGTATATAACCAAGAGAAAAACTCACTTTATAGAAGCTACGTACAACAACTTGGTCAGGAATTACTCACCAATCTACACAAAAAAAATCCATCTTCTCGTTATGTTGGCTAGCCTGATGTTCAAAATAGAAACGAATAGGTTATAATTATACTACAGTTTAATAGTAGAAACACGAATAATGTGATAAAAGAAGAAATATTTATTTATTTATTACATGGTATATAAATTGTAGGTTCCGATAAATATTTATTTAGCAAAAATAAAATAACAGATAGCATTCTTAAATATATTTATTATTATATATTATAATATATATATAAATATTATAATGAGATCTCAATTCGTAGCATTATTGATAGTAAACACAAGTTTTCAACACTTCCTGTAATATCTGGTATATTTCTAGAGTAAATCTCGTAATAGAGTCAATATTAATTATATATATTGACTCTATTAGTCGACATTTGACAGTATCTTTGTTATTTAGCACTACTGTGATTTCATCATTTATTTAAACATTGACATGATATTTCCTGACCAAATTCGTACATAAAAAGCTAGTATAGTAGTTACGCAAAACTGTTGACAGCTTTAATATTTTAATGGGTGATAATGGAATGGTAACCCCACCCGCGCGAGGGGGAAAGGGATTGTTAGTAATGGAGTTTGACAGCCCCATTGCTAGCAATATGCCTTATTAGGTCGACCTCCACGTGGTTCCTCCTGGAAACCATTACCTGGTTACCGTTCCATTATCATCCATTAAAAAAAAACCCCATCCGCGCTATCGGTATACACCGACGGGGCACCAGTGAAGGATGACACAGGTGAGGATGATGCAGGTCAGTTAGCCCATCTTGACAAATTCAACAAGAATTGTTCACGATGATTTCCAGGAGGAACCACGTGGAGGTCAACCTAATAGTGCATATTGCTGGCAATGGGGTTGTCTAACTCCATTGCCGACAATACCTTTCCCCCCTGACAGCTTTAATGAGCGCAATCGACTCTATAGACGATCAAAGATTAACTCGAGTCTGCTTTTTTGTCATTTGTAAGACAAAGACGAAGCAGTTCCATCTTTATTTCCAAAGCGACATTAACATGAGATGTGAGCTTAACTCAAGCCGTTAACCATTTACGGAGGCAATAAGAACAATGTGAATAAAAGCAAACCAATGAGAATGCACTCTTTCTAGCAGTATGCATATTGAGTACTAGCTGATGCCCGCGATTTAGTCCGCGTGGTATTTGTTATTCATTCGATTAACATTCTTATCGGCGACCGGCCGATGCAAACTCTTTAGACATTATTATACTTTTTTATATACATTTACTTTTAGAATGTTCTTTTTATTTGTAATTTCAATTTTATATTTTTTGACATATATCATATTGTTCTGTTCCTTGCTTGCTGTTAATACATTTTTTCGCTACTGAATTCCGTGTCTACATCATTTCATCAGGTAATGAACTCGACCGACACGATCATTAAAAAAAAGAAAATGGTTCTAACTTACGACTTTTATTATGCGATACGAAATTTACTTCAATTATATTGCAAGAACATGATAATCTTGAATCTTGATGACATCTACGTGTTTACCATGAAGTGAAATTCCGAAATTTCGGACTCAATTTCATGTTTTTGTTTATATCAAAATCGGACCAATAAATGGAGTTTAACATTTCTCGTTCGTTATAAATCGTTCGTTCTATCATAAAAGTGCAAAGAAACAATATTTTAACATTTTTAATATTTCCAAACGGCGTGTATTATGTAATTTTAACATAAAATTTCTGTTTCGTTTGGCTCCGAAATTTCGGAAAACATTTCATGGTAAGCCCTCTGAACTGAATCTTCAGACAGAGAAACAAAACAATTGAAATATTTAGATGTGTTCTATTTCACTTGTAACATCTCTTGACTCGGTTTTTAGCATTTTTATCTATGTACAGACATTCGACCTCTACAGTTTTTTTTTTTTACATATAGTAAAGATATAGATAAAGATCATGGCCTAAAGAAGGTACCTAACTAATTTGTAATATGTAGAATCATCATCATAGTTGGGGGTACTTTTTTTAATAACAGAAAATAGAATACCTAGTAATCCCGGTAACAAACATACAAACTCATTTTCACATTTATAATATTACGAAGGATTAATTTATGTAAAGTAAAAATAACCAGATTGACTTATGTGTAAGGAACGTGTATGTTACGTATAGACGTGGGCATATGCAGTATACCCGTAATTCTGTAAGTGGAGGGATATTTTGTGAATATGTAATAGTATTATCTGCAGTACAAACTTTTCTGTGTTTGTAAGTAATATGTTTTGTAACGCGTATCCATGGTAGTAACCTATGCTAGTCAAAAATTTTTGATTGATTGTCTTTTGCGCAGACCTCAGATAAATGTCTTTCTCCAAAACAATAGGTACCGTCATTTATCATCCATCGCCTATGATTTGCTCTGAATTAGTTTTCAAGTTGATCAAAATCGAACCCTTGACATCTTAGTTTTTTTTAAGTCTGTGAAAACCACATTATGCCACGACTACTTACATAAAGTTGGTAAATAAAATATAAAGTTAGTTGGTACTCTGAGGACAATTTGTGAGTCCGTAAATAAATCAATGAGCAGTTAGGTACAAATATCGTATTTAGCTTTATTTCAATTTTATTTGGTTGCCGGAGACAGGCTGTCACTTACTGGACGGCTAATAATTCATCGCGCGATCGTAAATGCGGCTAAAGATAAACACACTGTCAGAACTAAACAGAAATATACCATTATGCGTTTCAAAACACTTTTCATTATAGACAATTTTAACTTGTCAGTTCTAATGCAATCGTCTTTGTAATTTAATTTTGTAATCATTGTTAAAATGTATTGTAACTAGTGTACCTATTGTTAGGACTGGTAATATTCTTATACACATGTGAGGTACAACCTGCTTACTGAAACTGAACTAAATATTTTTACTAACTCAAATGAAAAATATTCCGCTAGTAGAATCAAATCATCTTTGAATTTGTTGTTGAAAAAAAACAACATGTAGTGACATTTTGTTGTAATTGATGATCATGCAATATTATCTCAGTCTTTTTATTATATCAGTTGTTATTTAAATTAGGGTAACGTACGTAGGTAGCTTCTCAGCAACCTCTTAGTGATGTGCACGTTGAGGACAGAGATTGGTAGGCGCTTTGTAATAGTAATAAAAAATGAAGTAATAAAAACAAAAATATATGTATAATTTAGTAATAAACGTAAACTGCATGCGAAAACATAAGGTATTTTTTTATTAATTAGGGCAAAAGTGCCCCGGACCAGTTACTCTATCCTCCCGCAAGGGGATGGTTCCTCCTGATAAATCTCCACACATTCCTTGGTTTTATGGAACCAAAGTTAATAGATATCATAATTAATAAATTAGCTGTTCGACTTCAATCTGGCCATAATCCATCAAAAAAATTTGCACATATGATAGAAAAGGTCTGGTCATCCCATTGTCAAGTTTGTGATACTATCGATAATGTGCAATATATACTGTTAGAATGTCGTTTAAACTCGATAGAAAAATCCACTTTATTCTCTATACAGGCGCTACTTTAACTTAAAAAATAATTAAATATTGATCTTATTCAATGTATATTAGCTTCATGTATATCAGATTTTTTTTTATTTAATCTCTGTAAATTAATACAAACAAATTAAACACCTATTAATTTTTCTCTTTCTGTGAGTAGAAAAGTAATTTCCGTGATAAGGCCGATATACCTGAAGAAGATAAAAACCCTTAGAATAATATATATATATATATATATATATATATATAGCCGATATACCTGAAGAAGATAAAAACCCTTAGAATAATATATATATATATATATGGATAAGCAGGTTTCATCTTTACAAGTATAAAGATACGAGTCGTAGTTAGTAGTATTTTCGATGATGAAGTATGGCTCTTACACATTGCAAGCACAATATATCACACAATCTGAATCTTTACTTATATAAAACAATCTGAAAGAGAGTTTCTTTGTAGCCTCTAAAGGCCTTAACGATTCAACAAATCGTTGTGAATTTTGGTAGAAGCAAACAGACTACTTTTTATTCCGCTCAATCACAAAATGTTGCACATACACATGCAAAGTCACGAGTAATAACTAGTATTTCATAAGTATAATGTTTAATCAAAGAGATATTCATATGTGATCCAGTAACCTGATATTTGAATAGCCTATCTTGTTCATCTCGAGCAATGCAGAAATCGAAAATATGACGTAAGTGTAGACACCAGATGACCAGACGCGTTTTATTACGCTATGTATTCTTATTAGCGCAAGTAGGTATAGCCTAATTATTTGAAATCTATGATATGATGGTAATCAGGGTTCTATGCCAAATATTATAAGCTCTAAGTTCAATAGGCTACTTATATTATTAACTCATCACTCAACTAGACTATTAATATGAGTTCTGTTCTACCCATCTATGTCTAAATTAAAATGTATTTAGGTAGGTACGGTAAAGTACTTAAATATGCCTTTGTATTCAGGGCTTGGCTTAAATTACCAGGCACCTATGGGCAAGTTTTTGACTCCCCCCCCCACTCAATGTAAAAAAACAAGGTCATTACTATTAAAGTACTGACAAAAAGATTATCAAGGATCCGCGTTACTCGAATCTCGGCGCCTCGGGCGCCGCCCAGCCGCCTCTTTACGTCCTTGAGACTAGTAACATATGTAGGTATGTACCTAAATAAAGTATTAAGTATATACAATTAAATATTTTTCGTTAATAGTTCTAATGATCGACGCAAAATAACAATGATACAAATATTATTCTTACTACATGCAGAATTAAATTGACAAATATCTGTGACACAAAGAATGATTTTTAAGTTTACACGAGAATTATATAACTCGTTGATCATACGAGTATACCTATATTAAAGAGGGGGGAAAGGGATTGTTAGCAATGGATTTTGCTA